GTGCTGAACTTCTGCTGGCTGCACTATCACTCTACTTTAAAGTGTTTCTTACAAAGAAGCTTTTTTATTTTTGCCCCTCTCGCTCTCCATCTGGTATGTCTGTCCTTCTCGCTTGGCGTTCCTTTTCTTTGCAGCTGCACTAGTGTTTACAAAGTGGAGACACACTTGCAGTTAAAGTGAAAGTGGAAAAACAGTAAGATGGCCTCTCACCCAATACCAGGAAAGGAAAAAAAGATATCCTGTGGAAGTTCCTCAAATAGAAACAAAGGCAGTGAATTTTGCAGACACCTGCACATATCTGCGTATTAGTCACACTAAAAATTGAGAATGTGGGTTTACAGAGCGCTTACTCCACAAGTCTAAATGTAGATACGTGTTTTGCAGAGGTCAGCAGCTGTAGTGTAGACCTCTTGGACTCAGCAGTTACAAAAGATGCAATGGTGTCTTAAAACTTAAAGGACCAATATGTAGTAGTTGTTTCCCCCCGCCCCCTCCTCACTATAGTCAATGTGCATGTACAAAGCTTCAGTGTTTAGCCTGCTTTACATCGGTGTTGAAACCTTTCTGTGTCCTAACCTCTCTCCAATGTTCAAACGCTCTTTCCTTATCTAACTTCCTGTCCAGGTTTTTCCATTCTGTCAAACTTGACACGTGCCTGCAGCGTAGTCCGTCAAAAATAGACTCGCATTTGAAGTGGAGCAGAGTATAGAGGCACTGCGGCGCTCACTGTGGAATCACAACAATTGACGAGAGCTGCTACGAACGGCGGTGCTCATGCAGCACGCATGGAGTATGTGGAAATTGGGAGTGGGAAACATGCCGAGGTCAGCTAGAATCAGTTATACTTTATGTAAACTAGTTTGTCTGCCCGCTTCCATCACTGCAACACCTGTTGACTGCGGCGCTCACTGTGGAATCACAACAATTGACGAGAGCTGCCACGAACGGCGGTGCTCATGCAGCACGCATGGAGTATGTGGAAATTGGGAGTGGGAAACATGCCGAGGTCAGCTAGAATCAGTTATACTTTATGTAAACTAGTTTGTCTGCCCGCTTCCATCACTGCAACACCTGTTGATTCTCCATATGCCTGGCAAACTGAGGGGCGTCCAAAACGGCCCTGTGGGTTTGCCTTAAAAGCACCTACCTGTTCTGGTCCAAACAAATACAAACCCTTCAGAAAGTTAGAAGGAGGACATACTGGCTGCTGCATTGTTGTCAGAGAATTCAGCACTTCAACATGGCATGTTTCCTTAATGTCTGATGATACAGTAAGGTCACTTTATCATTTGATTCAGTAAATATCTTCCATAGTGGACCTTTAAAATCACCCTTTCCCAAACATCAGACAAGCGTGTGTTAGACTCTCTCACTGACGGTCATTTAATTACATTTAATATGAAAAACAATCTGACAGATGCATTTGTATCAGGATGTTGAGAAAAGATTATCAGTAATCGACCGTTCTGTCACTTTTCAGGTCGTTTTTTCCAGCAGTGAAATCAGAGCACACTAAAACACTCAAAGACAAACAAATCCGAAAATTACATTTTACAGAATTGCTTCAGTTAAAATTGATCAAACATTTATTCCAGTAGCACTCAAACATTACATCAAGGATCAGATTAATATGAGGCAGATTTTCTTTTACCACACGCTGACCAGATTGTCATCCATCCAATCAGCTTTCCAGATTCAAAACGTCTTTTTTTTGTCTATTGGTGAGATAACAGGATATGACAAGATATCTCAAACCTCTGACGGAGTTGAGCTGGCTCCTCCTGGGCTGTGTAGATTACTGTTGTGAACTTTGAAAGTGTTTTTAGCATCTTCCTAAAACAAATCATTGTGGCTGTATAAGGCTACTCTCATTATGATTGTGAAGTATATCATAGACTTTATAATTTGCTCACAGATTCATCATCGACTGCAGAACCCTTGTTGCTGTTTGTTATGTTGCCTAGCAGCATGCTCTTGATGTTGTGCACTGATGCTGCTTTTTGTGGCTGTACTGTAAACAGAAATGAGTTGCAGTCACTTACCACACATCTCCTGACAAATGTTGATCAGACCAGAGCAGCTAATGTGAACAGGAGGGAAATTGTATTGTTATCTCAATACAAGCAATCGCAAATAAACACATCTCTAAATTATTAAAATATAGCGTTGTAATTATTAAAAAATTCTGTATTGAAGGACGTGATTCTTTAATCCCCAGCATGCATCAATTTTCATTGTTGAGAGGAGTCCTGCACCTAATGCCATGCTGATGCTTTCACACTAGTGTTCTAACTGAGACCAAGTCAAGACCAAGACCAAGGCAGGGCGAGACCGAGACAAGACTAAGACCAAGCAAGGACAAGACTGAGGAGACACCAAGACCAAGGCAGGGCGAGACCGAGACAAGACCAAGACCAAGCCAGGACAAGACTGAGGAGAGACCAAGACCAAGACCGAGACAAGACTAAGACCAAGGCAGGGCGAGACCGAGACAAGACCAAGACCAAGACCAAGACCAAGACCAAGACCAAGACCAAGACCAAGGCAGGACAAGATCGAGACAAGACCAAGACCAAGGCAGGGTGAGACCGAGACAAGACTAAGACCAAGCCAGGACAAGACTGAGGAGAGACCAAGACCAAGGCAGGGCGAGACCGAGACAAGACTAAGACCAAGCCAGGACAAGACTGAGGAGAGACCAAGACCAAGGCAGGGCGAGACCGAGGCAAGACTAAGACCAAGCCAGGACAAGACCAAGTCAAGACCAAGACCAAGGCAGGGCGAGACCGAGACCGAGACAAGACCAAGCCAGGACAAGACTGAGGAGAGACCAAGACCAAGACCAAGGCAGGGCGAGACCGAGACAAGACTAAGACCAAGCCAGGACAAGACTGAGGAGAGACCAAGACCAAGGCAGGACAAGACCGAGACAAGACCAAGACCAAGGCAGGACAAGACCGAGACAAGACTAAGACCAAGGCAGGGCGAGACCGAGACAAGACCAAGACCAAGACCAAGACCAAGGCAGGGTGAGACCGAGGCAAGACTAAGACCAAGACCAAGACCAGAGATATCACAAACAAAAATCATCATCTTGAGTTTCACTCATTTAGACCGAGACAGCAGAAAGGTTACTTGGGGAAACAAATCGATTTCTGAATGAATTGAAGTTATTCATTATTTTAGAAAGGGCTTTTTTCCTTCTAATCACAGTAATGATGTGGAAAAACAGCCTATCAGTGGTGGTCTGTAATCCGCCCAGTCTGAGACCGAGACCAGACTGAGTTAAAATGCTTTTGATTCCGAGACCTTTAAAAAGTGGTCTCGAGCCCGGCCTTGGAGTACTACAACACTATTTCACACCATTGAAATGAAGTCTGATGAAACTCAAGCTAGCTAAAAGTTACTCACAAGTTTGGAAGGTTTCAAGAAGCATATGCTGCTGAAAGCTGTAGGTGTAGCTAATACAGATTCTTTAATATTAGTTTATGTGTTGCACTGAAGTAACTGAAGTACTCAGTATTGAACAAGGATAATACACGGCTCAGTTGGTAGAGTCGGTCATCACTCAACAAGAAGGTCAGGGGTTCGATCCCCAGCTCCTGCAGCCACATGTCCGATGTGTCCGATATCCTGCAGGCTGAAGAAAATAGACTTAAAGTCCAAATTAAATACAATTTCTTTGTATGATTCAAATGTTAGTTGTCCATATTAAAGACGACTCACTGCATCTCTTTGGATAACGTTCTGTAACTTTCCATATCTCAATATATATCTTAGAAAGAAAAGATTTTGCAGTACCAGTTTTTATATATATACAATGTTCAACTCTAGTGCTGGGCAAAAAAAATTTTACTTTTCAAAGATGAGAAATCCTGAGTGAGAAAAAATGTGAAGGTATTGCATTTAGAGAACTAAGGTCAAAACCTTGTTTAAATCCTCTTTGCTTCAGCTAAAGGCAGATCATGTTATACTAATGTAATGTTATACTGTTTTCACAGTTAATTTGTGAGCAGAACATTGTTTTTCTTCCTCACTGCATACATTTGATCTGACCTTAACTTGATCAAAAAAGTCACATTTCCTCTTTTGACTCAGGCGCTAATTCAGAGTGACCTATAAAGAGTAATACTGTGTCTTCTTCTATGGAAAGGGAAGTGGTTGAAATTATCTTGAAAATAAAGAGTAAACCTCTTCTTTAGATGTAAGGGTTGATTAGTCATACTTTTTCTAGGGATGGGCATTTTTAGTCATTTTAATTCTCAAGTACTCTCATTACCTCAGGACACTTTATTACACCGTAAACAAATATGTCGTATATGTTCCTTTACGATCGCTTGCCATATTTTCCTGCGATGTCCCTCTCATCAGAACTGCGTGTCTGTAAAACAGCATTCTTTACATCACAGTTTGGAATGCAATGAAAACTGATGGTAACATAAATGACTCTCCTAGAATCTGTAGTGACAACCACTTTGTGAAGACGTTGAAAATCAGCTCGTCATACGTCTCCTTATCCATCTTTTCCACTCTTGTACGTAGCTTTGGCTCAGCTGTTAGAGTCAGTCAATTGGAAGGTAAGGGGGTTCGATCCCCGGCTCCTGCAGCAACATGTCCAATGTGTCCTTGGGCAAGACTCTTAACCTCTTCTTGCTGCTTCGGCGGCAGCGTATGAATTTGCGTGAATGGGATTACTTAATTCTGATGGTCACTTTACATAGCGACCTCTACCATCAGTGTGTGAATGTGTAGGGGTGACCTTTGGTGTAAAAGTGCTTTGAGTAGTCAGAAGACTAGAAAAGAACAATGTAGGCTTAAGTCCATTTACCGTTACCATGTACCGAGGATCTGATGAATATCGAATATAATTGACTATACAGTACGGGTCAACCTAAGAATAAAGTGTAATACTCATTAAAAAACAACTAAAGACTGGGGTGGATTCTGCCAGTACACACTGTGTGTTTTAAGTGTCATTTCCTTCCTCTGCTTCATTGCAGGGTGGGAAAGAGGACCCAGCCCAGTGTAAAGAGCCAAAGTTCCTGGCTAAGGCTGGCTGGATGAAGAAGGGCTACGGCAGACTGTTGGCCAGCTATAAGGACCGCTTCGTCCATGTGGAGAAGACAGAGATCGTGGTGTATGAAAACGAGGTACGCTAACATCCGCACATGTCCATAACTCATGCAACACTCTCACAAATGTGCACCATAAAGCACGCTACTGTTGTTATATCATTTATGATTTAGTTTTAATGAAATCCCAGAAAGCTCTCAATAACGTATGCTCAGAATGAAGCCAAACACCAGACTGCAGTAATATAACACAGCACTGGTTTAACTCTCCTTTTAGGGTTTGTTGATATTGTGAAAGCTAAATTATTTATTTACTGAATAAAGAATGTGTCTCTGTGTTGCAGGAGCTGCAGAACTGTTTGGAGAAGGTTGACCTGGAAAGCTATGATAAATGTCACGAGTTGAAGAGCCCCTTCAAGAGGAAGCACCGACTGATTCTCATTCGATCACCCAAGTCTGCAAACAAGGTGAGCTGAGAGATACGAAATCATTTTGTGTTAATGCATCAAAATGTGACATGGCAAGGGATGAAATCAGGTGTACCTTTGCATATAGCTCCAACAAACTTAGAAACACAAATATTTACCAGGCTGTAAATGTGTGAATTTCTGCTGTAAAAACTGGCTTTTTTGAATGTGAGGTGCATGTGACTTGCATGGCACTTGGAGTCAGCCACAAGCGGTTGCTAGACAAACTTTGGAGGCAGTCTCAAGTGAACACTCGAGGAACTGCAGTATTTTGCACTTCCTTTTAGGATGCAAACTTCAACAGTGGATGTTGCAGGTTAGTGCCAGCAGGGCAAGCAATGCACTGACTGACGTTTTGTGTTTGAGAGGTGTAATAAAAGAAAGAAAGAAATACCCTTTTTTTGGGGGGCATAGTTTTGACCCCAGCAATTCTCCTTTGACTGCAGATAACCCACCTGAAACATAGCAGAGAAACCTTCATTTTCATCGTCACTTTTACACAGTTAAGGCTTTAAATTCCTCCTCAATAAACATGATTAACTACAAATACAGGAAGGCTTCAGTTGGATACTGTTTTTATATTTCGTGTAGGAAGTGAAACTGAGGAAGAAATCCAGTTAGATTATAATACAACGGCTATAAAAAAAAATAAAGCAAAGGCGGAAATATAAGCAGAGCCAAAACATTTTTTATACTAAAGTATCTAACTAGGAACCAAAACCCTAACCCCAAAACCCTACGAGAAATTACCGTCAGACTAGTCAATTAGTCTGAAATGAGTCACCTAGGAACACCGCGAGCACCGTCATGTTGTACTGTACTGCTGTATCCTTAACTTACTGACTCGTCTCTCTCTTTGGGCTTTGGTTGAACCAAACAGGAACCTTTCTTCTTCTTCTTCTTCTTCTTTATTTTTCTCACTTATGACCTCAGTGCAGATTTTTATTGAAAACAGCCGCCTGCTGCTGATGAGAGCAGAGTTCACAGACAAATCAAAATAATGATCTAAAAGTTTCAGCTCTATTGTTATTTAATCAAAAGAAATATTATGGGGCGTCGATGGCCTAGCGGTTAGGTTGTGCCCAATGTACGAAGGCTATCCTTCTCCAAGCGGGCGGCACAGGTTCAAATCCGACCTGTGGCTCCTTTCCTGCATGTCATTCCCCACTTCCTACTCGCTCAACTGTCCTATCATATAAACGCATTAGAGCCCAAAAATACATCTTTAAAAAATAAATAAATATTATAAGTCATAGCAATCGTGATTAGAGCGTGAGAATCTTCACAGTCAGTCACAGTATGATACAAGCAGTTCTATATAATTATTCAAACACTTATCTGTGGTGTATATCACATGTTATGACCTTCTGTAAACGTTACAACATATGCAGAGCTGCTTCTTTCTTGTGCATTTTTCTAATTGTAACATTTAATAGTTCGTATATCTTGATTGTTTTGGTACCATGGTCCTCATCATTTTATTTCTTCAGCTCGTTAGACCTGCAGCTCTGTTGAAGCAGCAGGCGTATAAAGGTTAGAGAGCCAAGCGGCTGAAACAACTCAACAAATCAACTCTCGTTTGTCAGAGCTGGTCCACAAACATTGCAGGCAGCTAACCTCAATGAGGAAGTGACAACAGCCCGCCGGCCTGGTTTCACATTTACTGAAAGATACGGCCTACTGAGAACACATCCTATATTTCAGTTTAGGGGCTGATGGAGATTAAGCAGAGCTACAAGATGATATTACATTTACATCAGATAAGTGACCAGATACATGAAGGCTGCATGTAAAAGCTCATTCATGACAAGTTTAATATTTATTAAATCAGCCACTGAGGGCTGAATTAGAACTAGTGTTGGACGTGTGCTGTGCACAATGTCTAATGCACTTTTCCATAAGTTTGTATAACGATCCTTTTATTCCCATTAATTCACATAAACAATGTACCGTTCAGCCAATACACTAAAAACAGATTAACTCAAACTTATCTCATAAACACTCGGGTGCAAAAACTGTCAAAAACTGTTTTCTTTTTCAAACGTCTGAGTGCAATAACCTGGAGATTTATTTCAGGGAAGAAATAAAATGTAAAACAGATAAAACTCTCATTTTGGCTCCAATACTGATGTTGCTGTTAGTCTGATGCACCCTTTTTTGTGCAATGCCACTGTGTGTGTGTGTGTGTGTGTGTGTGTGTGTGTGTGTGTGTGTGTGTGTGTGTGTTAGTGAGTCAGAGCGAGAGAGAGAGAGAGAGAGAGAGAGAGAGAGAGAGAGAGAGAGAGAGAGAGAGAGAGAGAGAGAGGGGTATACATCCTTTTCACAAACACAGTGTTGCTCACTGGTCTGTGCACAGTGACAGGGCCGTATAGAGTGAGTCATGCACAGATGTTTCTGAACCTGCGACTCTCCATGATCTGGAGATCTGTTTGGAAAAACTGATGCTTTTACTGATTTGAAACAGAATCAGTTTCACATGCTCTCTGGATGTAGTCAGAAAGCCTTTCATGGGTTTTGGACTGTTTCTCCTTTTCCAAGCAAAGGTTAAGGCTAAGCTAAGTTTTCTAGCTAGTATGGTCTCGGTTTTTTACACCGTCAAAATATAGCATACCATTTATTTTACAGCATTCAGGTGACTTTTCATGCTTGTTGTGCCACCATGGTAGACCAGTTTCAAATTGCACATTTGGCACACTGCCTTTGTCTTTTTCAATTTAAAGTGTTCCCACACAGCTGAAGTCTTCAGCATTTTGTCTTTAACAGCCAAGGTGAACTGAAGTGTGACGTTTACTGACCGCTGTGAGGATAGGAATGTCAGGTACCCCCCCCCAAAAAAAACCCCAAAAACCTGAATATTCAAAGCCCAATATTAATAACTGTTGCCTACCCAACAAACGAAATTCAAATAACCGAATATTCAGGTCCCGTCCTACTATTCCGACGGTGTGAGACTGAAGCTGCAGACCTTTTCTTTCATGTTTGACCATGAAAATATATCAGTTTATCAAAAAGACAGGGGTATATCCAGACTTTTTTTTTTTTAACCGGGGTGGCCCAATGGTGGCACTGTTTTATACAGGGGTGACATGACGTTTGTGGGCACACACACACAAATGAATTAATTTAATTTTACCCTTACACGTTCAGTGACAATTCAAGAGGAGGAAGTACCAACAACCGTTTGTATACTGTACACCAAACCATATATTATTATATACTTGTTAAAATATCAAAACATACAAAACGAATTACATAGAAGTAATGGAAAAAACATCACTACCGGATTCATCAATGAGCTAAAACCTTTTTTTTTTTTTTTTTAAATCTGTATTGGCCCTGATTTTCTAAATCCCTTACTGTTCACCTTTATAAACAGAAGATATTAAAGAGGACATATCATCCCCCTCCTCCACCTTTTCAAACAGTCCCCTGTGGTCTAAATGAATCATCTGTGCTGTGCTGTGGTCAAAGTATAACATGAATCAAGCACCAGAGGAGGTTTGTGACCCTGTATAAACCAGCTCTCTCAGAACGCTCCGTTTTGATGTGTGTGTCTCTTTAAATGAAATGATTCCCCCCTGAGATTTCCCAGTAGACATCACTCCTCTGTAGCGAGAATAAAAATGAAGACCTGAGTAAACATTTTGTTCTAGGCTGGGGATGGAGTCCATGGGTGGAGATATCAGGGGAGGGGAGGGTATTTTTTTTACCAGAACCCCACCGTGTTGTCACATGGAGAGCAAATTTGAAACGGAGCATTTTTCTCTGTGTTGTAAGACTACCCAAATATATGTTCAAAAACACTGTAAAGTGGATTTTTCATAATATGTCCCCCTTAAGAAAACTGTGTTGTTGTTTTTGTACCAATTATTTACTTTGCAGCAGCTTTTCTATGAGGAGGTTTGTCTCATGCACATGCAGACCAGGGAAATGATACACATCTTTGCTAGTGGTCTATCACGGTTTCAATTTATTACCAAGAAAAGCAGTGTTATGCAAGCAAAGGCAGGGGAGATAACAAAATAAATACACAAGGAAAAACATTTTTTTTGTTTACAACAAAACTACGGTAAGACTAATTTAAATAAAAGCCTATTCAATTTTAGGAAAAACTGTGACTTCAACCCTGTTGGAACTAAACATAACACATGAAGACATATATGCATGAAGAGTCAAGTACTAAAAACAAAGTTTAGTATCTTAAACATCACTAAAATCATTTGGAAAATCAAACTTTGGAAATGGTTATCAGCTGTATTTCTTTTTAACTGCTAGTGATTACTTCAACATATATCTTTTATCATATCACTTTTATGAGCAGCTCTTTGGAAGCTGCATCACACCAACTGTTTTTGTATCTGTCGTCTTTGCTTTTCTCGCGATCAAAGGAAGTAGAAAAAGGGAAATGTTGAAGGATTCCATTTCATTTCCTAAAACAATCACTTTCATGTGACATTGAAATCCATCTGTTGTCTGTTGAACTCTGGGTTCCTGAATGTGTTGGTCGTTGGAAATTCAGTGTGGTGGTTCAGGTTGGATAAAGTGAGTGGGCCTGTGAAGGATGTGGAGAGCTTCTTGGCTGCCTCTCGGTTTCTCCGGGGCAACCTTCTTCAGCTCAGACTCCACACGGCTGAGTGAGACCTAAAGAGACAAAGAAAGCCGCTCAGCAGTGTCAGTGCGTCTCACAACCTGGCACCTGTAACTGCTTTTGCATAGTCGACATATTTTAGATAAAAAATAAGAGTTAAGTTACTAAAAAGAGTTTTAATTGTAGTCCAACCCCTGAAAAGGCAAATAGCCAATCGGAGTTCGGCGGAGAAAACAGATCACTGTCTGCACAAAGTCTTCATTTTCCTGTGAGCTTGCTGTAACAAATTCACAAAATGTAAGGAGGAGAAATGTGCAGTAAGCAGATCATGAGATAGTTAATGAACGACTCACCTGCTGAAGACTTTAGGACTAGTGCCCTGAAGGGACAAAATCAATCTACATCAAACCGGACCCCCAAAGCTTCCTATTCAGCCCCCAGAATATAAATGATCTCAGGTGATTAAACAATAAACATAAAAATGAAATTACAAGGCTTAAATACTGACATTAGGTTCATGGGAGAAATGACATTCACCCTCTGACTCCAACTTCTTTACATCAAGCTTGACAGCTTTCAGGCTTATGTGCAAGCATGTTTTAAAGTCTGCTCCCCACAGCGTCTGTCAAGGAAAAAGCTGGGCGCTGTACAAATGTAGTTGATGACCCCTGATCTACTTTGTCTCTGTTTAAGGTTTTAATGGAAAATGTACTGAGACACGTTTACGCTGAACTGTTCTGCTTTCTTAAAATAACAAATGAAGAGACTGAATCCTTGTGAAAGAGAAAAGTCATATGATTTATGATTGATCCCTGACAACTGTTGTGGTCTGTTTGACCTTTGATTATGAACTTTATATATGGCTGACTGTTATGTGTTTTTGACTGCCGTCTCTCACTTCTCTGCTTTCTGTGACTGACAGGTCCATGATGTGAAGTTTCAAACTCAGACTGCGGAGGAGAAGGAGGCGTGGATTAAAGCTCTGAGTGATGGCATCAATCGAGCAAAGAACAAAATCTTTGACGAGGTAAACATCAGAGTAATCCCCACACAGAATCACAAGTGTCTCTGATTATCAGTTAAGGGCTTCATGTTTTTTTTTTTTTAGGCTACGTGACCAAAAATAAATTAAGCTTGTTAATGAACAAGCTTCATGTTTTCACAGGTGAAGGTTGATGACAGCAGTAATTTAGAGCATGTAACACGAACAAGACCCAAAGGGAACCGTAACCGACGGCCTCCTACCAGGATACACATGAAAGAGGTTTGTGTGTGTGTGTGTGTGTGTGTGTGTGTGTGTGTGTGTGTGTGTGTGTGTGTGTGTGTGTGTGTGTGTGTGTGTGTGTGTGTGTGTGTGTGTGTGTATACATGAGTAGTGTGTATGTGTGTAAATCCCTTTATCTGTGTTTAAAGTCTCTTAACACACTTTGTATCTTGAAAAATAGTTGCTGTAAACATGTGAAAAGAACACAAACTATGTTTGAATTATGGATTTGGACTGTTATAAACTTTTAGTTGGAGTTTTTTTTTCCAGTAGTGCAAAGAGGGGGGCTGGAAGACACTGGGGTTCCTGAGCATAGTCCTGCCACCAGAGCGTTTCAACGTTATAAAATGAATGAGCTCTTAAAGGTCCAATCAGTAAGATATCTACTGAGTTATATCATCCAATGACCTTACTATATGATCAGACATTAACTTCTAACTTTAGACTCTGGTCCTGAATGGTCTGGATTTGTTTGGACCAGAGAAGGGAGGCGGTTTTAAGGCACCCCCACATGGCCGTTTTGGACGCCCCTGTATAAATGTGTTCAAACTAGGATCAATATTGGAGATGCTTTTGAAAAATGGAGATGTTAGAACACAGAAAGGTTTACAGGCCGATGCAGAGCTGGATAAACACTGAAGCTTCAGCATCCGCATCAAGGCAACCTGTGTTTACGTTGACTTTAAGGAGGAGGGGGCGGGGGGAGACAGCTCTCTTCAGTGTTTTGAGCTTGGACCGCAGTACCCATTTTAAACACTAGGTGTCAGAGTTACATATTGCTCCTTTAAAGCATCTTGTGTTCTTCTGCTCGATTCTAGGTAACTACAAGTTTCAACATTACAGTCAGCAGTTTTGTTGATTTTTATTTCCTCTAAGCTAGTCACAAAACAAAATTTATAAAAATGGTTGATGAGTTCCCAAAAGAAGAACAAAGGCTGCCATGGTGTGAGGATGGCTGCCGTATGATCGTAGAGATACAATGTGATAAAGTTACATGATTATTGTGGTTTTTACTCATGACCTTATTTCATCTGGCTAGGTTATGGTACTCAGTATAAGTGTAATGTTTCACACTGTTAAAGACTTAATGTGTGATTTTTCACACTTAAATATAATAGAAATCAAGTATATCCTCTGAAAATAGCTCTGTGAGTCATGACTGTCTACAATGAGTGTGACACCCGAGTCCCACTGTCTGTGATGCTTTCAGAGCTTTCAGAGTCCTACCTTCACTTTGTTTACATCGCCCGGACGGCCGGCTGACTCCTCCCCTCGTGTATAAAAGTTGTTTAATTGAGGGACTAGAGAAAAGAAGAATAACATACTGTACTCACTGCTTAACTGTGTTTCGAGATCACGCTCATTTCAGGTAAATTTACATGCAGTGTGAAGATACGAGCAAAATAAAGATCGCTAGCATTAGCATGCTAACACAACAATGCAGCGCGAGTTGTTTTGGTTTCATGCTGGTGCTCAAGGGCGACATCTGCTGGATCAAAAAAATCACATATAAAGCCTTTAAGCCAACTTGAAAAAGGGTCAGAAAATGCACCGTTCTCAGGCAGACAGAAGAGAGGAAATAGGTTCTCCTCTGGTTCAGCATTGAATTCTCGCTCTCGGGGCTGGACGGGTCCAAAAGAACAGTCGGAATTATCCCTCCACTGTCAGGTTGTGGAAGTTTTTCTCGACGGTTGAGAGAGGCACATCTTCCCTTGTGTAGGTTTTGAAACACCTACAGCTGCATCCCAGAACAGACAATACTGCTTAATTTTTCATGATTTTGAAATTCATAGATTTTTTTTCACAACTTAAACAATCCATCAATCAGATCTCTATTTGTAAAGTAAAAAGAGTAGGTCAAGGCCGTACTCTCTGTTATATTATCTACAAAGACCTAACATTGATCCATCACAAGCACTAAGCAACATTCAAAACGTACAGTGGCAGGGAGAACTCCCTTTAAGAGACATTTGGCCCCGTGGTTAACACATTTTTCTGTTGAATAACAAACTTGAAATGCATTTTTTAAGTTATATTTTGCCTTTATTAGATAGGACAGATGAAGATAGACAGGAAACATTGGTAGGACAGGGTAGGCTTTAATAGACACTGAGTATTCTGTATCTAAAACCAACACTGTAGTTATGAATGAGTGAATGTTTGTGAGGATAAAAGTGTCTTTTTAACTGAAGCTGAAGGTACCATTCAGATAACCATACATTATTGTCACATTAGATGTTGTCTATGTTGAAATCATATGTAATGTTACTTAATATATTTGAATGATCTTCTTAGTGTTAATTCTGATGTTTGCTCATTTGCGTAATTTCTCTTTCCACGTCTCTTTACTGTGTAGGTAGCTGATGTGTCCTCTGATGGTATCCTGCGATTGGATCTTGATCTTGAGAATGCCACAATGCCTAATGGGACCTCCCATGTCAGTGTTGATGGCCCTGAAAAAACGGCCAAAACGCCAGTGACTCCATCTAAAGACAGCAACGCTACAGAGAAAGAGTCAGAGCAAAGTCCTGAGGAAGAGACTAAGACTGAGCCAGAGACCAGTCCCCAGAAAAAGGTCTTTAAACCTCCCATGCCCCCTATCAAAGAGGCTAAACCCAGCTCACCACCTGAGGACGAACCTGAGAAGGATGATGGCTCAGAGAAAAAGGTCTTAAAACCTCCCATGCCCCCTAACAAAGAGGCTAAACCCAGCTCACCATCTGAGGAAGAACCCTTGAAGGATGATGGCTCAGAGAAAAAGGTCGGTATATTTCTACGCAACCTTTTTGATACCATGCTGGATTTCTGACTAAGTCTTTCTTTTTCGATAAATATGACCTTTGAAATATGACTTTTATTTTTTTAAGGTCTTGAAGCCACCAATGCCTCCTTCTAAAGAGGTGAAGCCCAGTGTTTCGCCCAATGAAGAAGAAGCTTCAGAGGAAGACAAAGCTGAGAAGGTTCCTGAAATGAGTCCAGATTCCAAGAAAAAGACTGGACCACCTCCAACTCCTCCAAACAAACCCGTGAGCAACCTATCTGAGGCCCCACAGTCCAGGCCAAACTCCCACCCTCCTACCCCTCCATGCAAAGAGAAGAAACCCTCCCATCCTGCTGAGGAGTTGAACCAAGAGGTTCAAGGCTCAGCTGATGAGAATAAGGAGGAGGAGGAAGAGGAGAAAGTGAAGGAGGTGACGGAAACAGCTTTGGAAACGGATGAGGCAGAGCAGTCGGTTTCTAAAGAGGATGACGGTCGTCAGAGTCCCAGTGCTGAAGGACAAGTTTCAGAAGACAAATCAGGAGAAGCCGACAATGAGCCACAAGAACCCAGCGAGCCGCTCGCAAAGAGTCCTCCTCTTGTTCCCAAGAAAAAGCCTGAGAAACCTGCTCAGCCCGACGAGGGTGAAGACAGTAGTGCACTGCTGCAAAATGCTCCAGATACCTCAGCCGGCTCTTCTCCAGCAGAAGAGACACCGCCCAAGAGTGAAGTCCCCACAGTGGTTGTCTCTGTGAAGGACCCGGTCGCTGATAGCCTCAGCCTGAGTCCACTGCTCTGTCACTTTCCCGGGGAGAAGAAAAAGAAGGCGGAGGAGAAGTCTGTGGACAGCGGCCAGCACTCAGATGATGACAGCGAAAGCTCTGTGAGTGAGGACACACTCGCGGCTTCCACGGCTGCCCTGAGAGGAAGCAACGCCGGTCTGGATGTGTTGGACGCCAACGAGGACGACGCTCCGATCTCTGTTACTTTAAGGCACCCAAAGGTGGCGCCCAAGCCTCAGGTTGGATCAAAGGCATTTCCCTTACGACGCTCAGAGCCCACTCCTCCTCTCAAACCCTCAGCGAAGGCACGGTCAGCCTCCATAGGAGATCTGCTGTCCGTCTCTTCAGTCTGTACTGAGGCGAGGCAGCAGACCAGTGCCGAGGTGGAAGACAAAGCCACGCCGGCTGAGGAGGTCGGGAAACTGGAGGCCGAGGTGGCGCTGGAGATAGAAAAGACCAGGGAGCTCCTGAGCAGAGTGTCCATCAAGGGAGGTGACGGGGAGTCCATGTCGGAGGACCTGCTCACCAAGGCCATGGAGAAGCTGAAGACGGCCGACCATGTCCTCAGAGAGGTCAAGAAACTGACACCAGCAAAGAACTCAAGCACCAGGAGGAAGAGCTTGTGAAAGAGCAGATTGTCATGTAAATAACCATTCGCTAAACCTTTCTCCTACTGAGTGATTATCCATTAATAAGTCATCATCAGTCCTGTCAAGATCTGGATCTCTCCGCATCCTGTAGCGTTTGTATGAGGCTTAATATTTGATGTCTACAGAGGGCTTTTTCTTGTGTCTGTTCCAGATCCAGAAACACCGGAGTGAAGTGTAACAGATTGATTGAACGGTGTGTCTTTTTGCTCCAATCTTTAGCATGTCAAGCTTACTACCCTTCTGTCTGTAGTAGTATCTGAGCATTACAAACAAAGCCTGTACAGTAGCCTAGAGATAAGCTGAGAGTACTCAAGCTTCAAAGCACAGATTCAATACAATGTGCTGGAGCTGATGTCAAATGAAAGAAAAAATCCATGATTGATGAAGTCAGCGTTCGCAAACATTTTGACAGTTTTTAAAGTTTAAGGTGCTGCAGTGGGTTAGCAAATCACCGTGCTATAAGCGGTATTATAAAGTTTTATGATAAACGATTTAGTGTATGAAAGTAAGTTAAGAAAGGTTCCCATGTCTCATAGAATTTCCTCTTCAAGCTTCTGACAGAGAAACGTAACATCTCGAGTTTGAGACAGGACATTACATCCTGACGCCACTGTTCAAGCGTGGGCAGGGCAGCACCCTTCCATTTCAGCAGGATTGCACGTCTGGCCAAGAGCAAGGCAAAAGCGACCATGCGGTGTTCTGTAGAAGTCAGGTGGGGGTTGCACTGTGTGTTTTAAGACAACGGGGTTCCACTCAGAGACCTTCAGTGGGTGCCAAAGCGCTCCAAACTGAATTCCTCCATGATATTGCTTTAAATGATTTGTGATAACATCACACTGTGACTATGATGTGCCATAAATATTAACCCTTACTCATGAATATACAGCAGCAAAAAAAAGGTACATTTGTGTTTAGTGTGACCTGTGAAGGCTTCTTACACAGCCTGTTATAATTTAAGCTTCTTGAACAAAAAACATAGGCTAGTACTGATGCAGCACGTCTGAACAAAGTCGAAGCCTTTGCAGGATAGCGTTTTAATATCAGTGAGGTAGAGCTGTGATTCAGGCACACATGTGAAGAGCTGCTTCAAGCCACCAGATGTCACTGTTTGCTGAACTGAAGCCCTCAGACTTTGAATCTTTTTCAGCACAGACACAAAGAAAGGCTTCCACGCCGTTTTATGGCTTCATCTGCAAAAACAGCCCCCACCCCACCCCCCCTCAGTAAAAACACATAGACTGTTTGCCCACCATGTGGATACTTGCTCTGGATGCTCAGAGATCAGACTTTTTCCCCACATCATTTTAAATGTAAATCTGTTTGAATTGAGTCTGTTTATAGCCAGCTGATTGTGTTGATTGTCACTTTAGAAGGAACGATAAATGGCTGCCAGCTAGAAATGGCATGAAGGAGACAGGGTTTAGTGAGCGGTCAGTCGATGGACTTGGGGAATAATGACATGACGTGTCTCATTTTTGATTGTTGTGCAGATTATGTAACTGTTTGCTCATAATTAACTACGTGCAATTATTTCTAGTTTCACTTTCTCTGCAGCTAAACGTAAAGCTTCATTTTTATTGCCCATTTTGTGTTTTGTTTATATCTGACATTTCAAGGATAATTGCCTGAAGGATAATTTGAGAATGAATAAGAATATGAAAATGCTATGCTGTCAGTAAATACATTGAGAACATGCAAAATGACTCAAATTTGTAAATACCAAATTGCACAACTTAATATTGTCTTGTGGATTTAGAAAGCTTTTTCTCTTATTCTCAGTTCCCATGTTTTAGCTGGCAGTTTATATGAGGGATTTTTTATTGTACATACTTTACATGTTCATCGCAGCATTGTGCTGTTTGTTGTTGAGGGACATGTACCAACATAGCTCAGGAGTTTTCTAAAAGTGATCTTTATAGTCTAACCATGTGAATAGAATAAGAAAGGGTGGGCAGTTTTGTTATTAATAATATGTTCTTAATAGTGATGCTGTGGCCTTAATAGCTCTTAATGCTCTCACTAACACACTTGTAATAATTGCTCATCAGACATGTCTCTGCATGAAGGATTTCCCCTGGTTTTATCTGACGCTTTGGTAAAAGCTATTTCCACACAATCTGCCTTTCAGAGTATGTAAGAACATTTTCTAACATTTTGTACTCTTTGATAACATTTTCTATGGCTCAAATAATTAAAGGGAAACGATGTGTTCATGTTTGTTTCTTGTGGTTTTGTCATTTCAATTTTGTTCATAAGTCTTTTAACTTTATTTCTAAGGTGGTAGTTATCTGGGTTTGCATCTCTGTGTGAAAAGAACTTGATAGGTCAAAAAGCTCCAGCAACACTTGTAGTATGAAGATCAACTTTATTAACTAATTGGAGCATTTTGACCTCATCAAGCCTTTCACTCTTCATGCACCTTGTTAGTTGGTGAAGTTGTGCCAGAAAATCCCTCTCTGCTTCTTTGAAAAGAAACAGATTGAAAATGTGCAACCACTTTGATAATTGAGGCTTGTTAATTGTTAAAAAAAAATGGAAAGAGTATCAACAAAGGGGTAATTTGATGGTTTTATGTTTTATATAAAATTGTAAACATTAAAAACTGTTTGGAGCGCCAGATAGCTTAGCAGCATCCATTGGTTTGGAGTCAGACCTCAGCCCTTTGCTTGAGTCACTCTTCAGCTGTCAATAAATGCAAAAAGACCAATGAAAAAGACCCAGCTCCCCCCCCTAAAGAAATTACAAAAAAAAAAAACAGAACTGTTTTTACTTGTCTAACTGGTGGTTGGTTTGGACACGTGTGGTAGCATCCCAAAAAAATGTTTGCTTTTATAATTTTTTCAATTTAATTTAAAAAAAAATGATGTTAAGAAGAAAGTTGACATTTTTGAAATAAACAAAAAATCTTTAGAATCATAGTCTCTCTCCTGCATGCAAAAAAAAAAAAAATATATATATATATATATATATATATATATAAAAACATTGAATACAACCAATTCACACGGTTAAAATAGCAAATTACAGGCAAATAGCACATTTTAACAGATGATGGATCATGATGGCAATTGGAAGCCAGTGAAAACATTAACACTGATTTACAGAAGATAGTCCACATAGACTTGTACACACTTAAAGCCTTGTGTGCTAAAGATAGGATGATTATTTTGTTCCCACAGCATCTTTAACAAATTACCTTAGATGCTTTGTATGTTGCACATTCTGTGATTAAGCAACTAATTAAAACTAATTACCTTAATAATAAACGATTTGATCACGAAAGTACAATGGCTTTCAAAACGGAAGTAGCACGGCTTTCAAAACCAGCTTGACTACAAAAGTAAATTAACTTTACTTTGAAGGTCAGAAACGGAAGTTATTTTTCATTTACTAAAGAAAACTTAACCAAATATCAGATAGTCAATGAGCCTCTGTGTATTGTGCGTCCAGTCTTCTTATCCCGGCTGAAACATATAAAGCAGACGGTGTTACAATGACACAGGTGGAGAGTCAGAGGTTTCTTTAAAGCGGCGTAAAGATGGAGGACGACCTGGTGTCGGAGGATGATATCCGTGAGTATCGTTATTCCCAGCAGCTGTGTGTTCAGAGAGCTCACATCTGTCAGCAGCAGGATGTCCGTGTTGACCACAGAGGGCTGGAAATGTCCAGGCCGGATACTGTGTTACTTTTCACAATGTGTCGTTTGCACATGTGGTAATATTTGTGAATGCACAAAAACGATCACAGCCTCGTATGTTTATTTTATTCAATTTCTATTTCTGCAACTAGGCTGTAATTAAAAACTGTCCAATAAGGCTTCTCATTTTCTAAAGTAAACTGCGCCTCCTCATCTATATGAAGGTTTCTTCGTGTTTGGGACCTGATGTGAAAAGTATTCATTGTCTGAATTTGACTGAAAGGTCGTCATAGCCTATCAAGCGAAATCTGTTTCTTGTGTCTATTGTATTATAATTGAACACATGATGCAGCATGCCTGAGTTTTAATTCTTGAGTTTATTATCAAAAGCAAAAGTCATCTACCAGGACACATATCCCATTAAGACCACTACAGCCAATGATGTAAAGGTGAAAGCCCCCAAAGTCTCAGACTTATAATACAGCAGGCATTCACCTTAGTTGCTACCTTTTGCTGGCATGCAGAAAAAAAGGTGAACATCTGTGTCCACCTCTCCCTGTCAGTGCTGGTGTCAGAGAAGGAGCTCCATGATGCTGCAAAGAGGAACGACACCGAAAAACTTCAGGAGCTGATCAGGAAGGGTGTGGACGTCAAGGCCAGGAATAAAGTATGCCTATTGTTTTGACCTTTTCTACAGCAGGTGTGTTCAAGTGTTTGTCAGTGTGTAGTGATGCACTGATTCAGAGAGATCAATAAGACAGATAATGAACTAAAGCTTTCTTAATTGTAAATTAACACCGTTCTGCTCATTAATAAAAAATAATAAAAACATGTTGGGGGGCGGCTGTGCCTCATGTGTCAACCAGTCTTTGAGGCCCTTCCTTTATCATCCATCTTGGTCATACATCTCTCCCGTCTCTGCACAGGTTGATCGGAAAGCTCTGCACTGGGCCGCAGGAGCTGGAAACGAACAGGCTCTACGACTCCTCCTGGACCATGACACTGAAGTGGACGAGAAAGACTCTGTATGTGCACGGTTTTGTTTCCTCCAAAGCCCCCCTGCAGTAACAGATGGGTGACGCCACTCAGGCACTGTGGCACAAAAGTGTCCAATTTCTCTTTAAACATTCCTAAAACACTGAACATCAGTTATCATTAAGGTGCAGTCTCTCTTTACTATGAACAATGCAGCAAAGATTTTAGAGAATTTCAACAGAATGCAAAATATGAAAACATTTTTAGCACACAGAAGCATGAAGAAAGATCAAGGCGGTCAAGGACACTTTACTTCACATGTATCTTCAGAGCATCACTGTGGTATAACTTTTGTATGTTTGTCTACAGTTTGGAATGAATGCTCTGCTCCTGGCCTCCTGGTTCGGTCATTTGAAGATCCTGCAGGTCCTGGTGTCCTGTGGAGCAAAGCTCAACTGTGAAAACAAAGTAAGATCTGCTTCATATCATCATAAAAACAAACTGTCAGGACTGACTGACTCAGAGTCTATGTGTGTGTGTGTGTGTGTGTGTGTGTGTGTGTGTGTTAGGACGGTCTCAGCATGCTGCACTGTGCTGCTCAGCGAGGTCACATCAGCGTACTGGAGTTCATCATGGAGGACCTGGAGGATGTCTGTCTTGACAGAGTGGACAAGGTGACGCCATTCAGCATTGTGTTAAATTTACTGCCTGATGTTCAACAAATTATACATTTTAGACTTTTTGCTGCATCTAGGAGTCTAATGTCGCAAATTTAGAGCTGGGGAATCACGCCACACCCGAGGTTAACCACCTTCCACTTGTGAGTTGGCATCAAGTCGGTCAAACAACATGGAGCACCTTTGTTTTGTTAGCTCATCCCAGGCAATAACAACACACTAAGTGACAGTCTGCACTGGAAAATAACATGGCAACACGTCCACTGATAGAACTTGCATGATGCTATCGGTGTGATTGATTTAATTACACTACAAGAGGACTACGTTGTTAACTAACACAATAGTTACAGGTGAAACGTTTATCTTAATGCGCGTAGCAGCCATGTTGGATTTTTACACAGGCTACTGAAGTTGCTCCGAGTTTCCAAGTGGGAATTTCGACTTCAGGGGGGCATTCCTGATAACGTATCAGACCGGCAACTCCGAATTTCGGACTTCCGAGATCAAAATGATCAGCAACATATAAATACAAGGAGGTTATTTAAGCTTTTGATTGAAAAGTGTTTTAGCTCAGCGTTAACCTGCCGATGTCTCTCTGAACAGTTAGGGAAGACAGCTCTTCACCTGGCTGCTGAACACGGACAGTCTGAAGTGGTGGAGTTTCTGATTGGAATGGGTTGCACTCATGCGTTGAAGGACAAGGTAAAGACACGTATACACACACACACACACACACACACACACACACAACTTAAATGCTTAAATGGTTGAATGGAAGAGAGCGTTGACACCTTTGTCTATATTTTTTTACATTAAAGTCAGGGTTGGTCATTTTCTCAAGATGCACTTTTTAAGATAGGTGGAAATTGTCTTTAGGTCCTGACAAAGGAACAAAGAAAATTCTTCATCTGTAGCAGTTTGTAAGCCTGTAAATAATTTGACCAATGTCTGCCACGAGGTACCAATCTCATGAACCAATCACGCCTCCCCGTCTCCCTGATCGTTCTCGACCCCATGAATGCACGAGCCCACACTCAAAGCATGAGCTGAGGTCCGCTTCTGGACCAATGGCACTTGTACATGTAAGTGAGGGCCGTGCTATGCTAGTTTTTGAAAAATTACCAACCCTGCATTTAATGTAAAATATGTATCACAAAACACATTTTATTACACTACTTGGCTACAACAAAAAAAACATTATTTAATTCATTTTCATAATATTGGTAATATTTTATTTCAGCCTTTTAGGATTGTAGATCAGTGTAGGGTTATGCTAAATGTACATGCTTGGGTGGCCATTTTGTTTAAGTTTAATTAACAGGCAATGATTTGAATGATGCTATGATGTCATGGTAAGAGAATGTTTTGATAAAATAAAGACATCAAAAGAATTCTGGAACTCTGGTCCATCAAAGCTAATTAGAATCTCAGCATATAAACAGTTACCAGTCTGAGACAACCACAGTTCACAGATTCATTCTGAGACTTCAACAGTTCACAGATTCATTCTGAGACTTCAACAGTTCACAGATTCATTCTGAGACTTCAACAGTTCACAGATTCATTCTGAGACTTCAACAGTTCACAGATTCATTCTGAGACTTCAACAGTTCACAGATTCATTCTGAGACTTCAACAGTTCACAGATTCATTGAGATACAACTTTGTCCGATAGACACTTCAACAAGACCACAAAGCGTTCTACATCCAAGACACTGTTTGATCTGAGAAGAGTAATGGAGCACTACAGATCCCAGAGCAGGGCAGTCAATACGGGGGCTGATGATTTCAGGTACTCCATGCAAGGAGCCGAAACTTTCCACCAGAGGCCGCACCACTGGCCCAACCAGTATGGACCCCATCGCCCATCACATCAGAGACGCCCACCCCACTGGCAGGTGGTGGCAGACCTGAAGAATGAAATACAAGGGTTGAAAATTCTTCTGAAAAAGGAGCAGGATCTGAACAAAGCAGGGTGCGACAGAGATATGCTCAGCAAGAACATCATTGAGGAGTTGGAGGAAAGGTTGGAGTTGGAGCACCATAAGAGACTTGAGTGTGAAAAGGAGATCAAGATGCTGAAAGAAGAAAGGAAGCACTTTGATCCATCCTGTGCAGAGAAGGAGTCCCTGATGCAGGAGAAGGAAGAGGTCATCAGTGATGAACTTTTAAAAGCAGAGCAGCCGGAGATTTCAAAGAGCCGCTGCCTTGAGCTGTCTGATGAACTCAGAGCACAGGAGAACACAGATCAGGCACTGCAGAAGAGGGTGGAGGACCTCCAAAGACCAGAGGAATTGAGGGCTGAGAGCCTCCAGAAAGAAGTAGAGGAGGTCAGGCCTCAGCATGAGGAGGGCTTACAAAACCAAGACAAGACCAACATGTGTCCTGAGCTGTCTTCCGATCCGACAGCACAGGAGGAGGCCGATCAGATGCTGCAGGAGGAAGCGGAGGTGTTTCAACAATTGTGCGAGTCAGAGGAGAAGATCTCTACATGGAGGAAGATCAAGAAAGCCTGCACTCCAAAACATCGCCGCCAATTCAAGCATCAGAAGAAGCAAATGCTGGACCATATGTGACCATCCCAGCTTCTCCAGCCGCTCCCCCCCACCCGACTTCCTCCAACACACAGGCTGTAACAGGCCAAGCAGTCACAGTGGGAACATAGAAAGTCCTGACTGACAGAAGCCGGCTGGTTTCTGTGTGTCAGGACTCGACATGTTCCCACTGTGTCTGCGTGGGTTTTTTCTCCGGGTGCTCCGGTTTATTCCCACACATAAACATTTGGACCTAATTAAAAGATTTGACACAAATTTCAAAAGACTTGATAAAATAAAAAAAGTCTTGATCTAAACATTATATCTGTGTCGTTGAGGGCTCTTTTAAGTATTTTTCATACTGTTGTTTTCTGAGTTTGTTTTAACAGATAAAAGTCAAAGTATCTAAATGCATGCATTGTCATTTTGAACGAAGCAAAGTACACAATATGAACTATAAGTGTATTTTAAGTGGTTGATTATTTGTCAATTTTTCTACACTTTTTACTACAGGATTTACTCACACACACACACACACACACACACACACACACACACACACATAATGAATCAGTACTTGGACTGAAGGGCAGCACACACAAGGGCCTGTTGTGTATTAAGCAAACAAACTTCTGTTGGTTCCACGTATTAATCAACTGAAATGTTACACTTCCTTTGTCAGGTCGTCATGACAACAGACCTCACTATGGCTAAAGCTAATGAGGGTGTAAATGCATTCATCTGTCTGTACTCAAACACTCAGCATAAAGCAGGATGTGTCCCGACTTTAAATCCTGTGTTTGCAAACACAGCTGCCTCCAACAGCTGACTCAAAGTAAATATTTCCGCACTGTTGGTCAGCATCACATGTTCATCTCGATCAACGGTCACTGAAGGTGTGAAGTGTCGTTTCCACATACAATAAATTAAAACCATGTGTTGTATTCCAGCAGATCTAGAAGTGTTGTTCTTCTTCAGTAATATGTTTATTCTGATAATAAAAGAAGCATGCTTCCAAAGAAAATATGATCAAAGCAAATAAATGTACATATAAACAAGACAAAGTGATTGAGACCATGTACTTACAGAGTAATAAATGTTAACTGACTAAATCTACTGAGAAGTAGACTGACAGGCTGGTCCTGTGGCTGGCTGCTGACAGGCTGGTCCTGTGGCAGGCTGCTGACAGGCTGGTCCTGTGGCTGGCTGCTGACAGGCTGGTTCTGTGCACTGGGAGATGATCACTCATTCTCTTCTTCTGACTAATATTCAGACTATTCCTCATCTCAATACACACACATATACACACACACACACACATATACACACACACACACACACACACACACACACACACACACACACACACACGCACACATGCACACATACAAACTGTTAATTGCGGTATTTCTCTTTTGGTAAACATTGAAAACGGGTCCCACAGACCTGAACACCATACAAGGTTACATATACTGTAGCTGAACAGTAACCTGCAGAGATACATTGTTTAAGAGGTGGTGACTGATCATGAATTTATTTAATCATAAGACACATGTCTGCAAAACAAAGTAAATGTGTCTGGTTCAGATAAAATAACAACGAGGTGCCAACATCCCCTCGTGCTTGTTCTGGTTTGTACACTGTATGCAGAGGAAGTTGTGTCAGAGTGGGTTTCTGGTTTTGATGTGTTATGTCTGGACTTCAGGAAGAGAACACGGCCGTGCATCTAGCAGCCAAGTTTGGGCACACAGACGTCCTGCAGAAGATCATCGAGACGGGAGTGGACGTGGATGAGAGAAACATAGTGAGTGGAATGTTCTAGCTTTGCACTTTTTAGGGACTTTTTTCCCCCTGTGGCAATCTGTTCGATTTGTTGTGCCTTTGACTTTACGCCGCTCAATGTAGTAGCATGGTGACTTTAAACAGCAGTGAACAGTTGTTTTTTGAATGTGAATGAAAAGTATTTTCCATGTCATCATGGTTGATAACAGACCCTCTGATCTGTCTGCTGGTTGTTCTTTTATCTTTGTTAAATTCTTATGAGCAGTTGTCTGATTCCTTCTTTACCATAAACTGATGCCATATTTACTTTCAGTGTGAAGCTCCTGACAGCTGTCTCTTTGGTGTTTTCAGGATGGTCTCACAGCTTTGCATCATGCATCTGATGGAGGTCACTGGGAATGTATCAAACTGCTGCTGGAGTCCGACTGTGATATCAACACACAGACTAACGTAAGCTTTCCGTATTTTAAGTCAGACACTGTTTGCATAAACACAGGGAATCTTTTTTTTAACAATGTGAATCCTTGTTCTGTTCTGTCTGCAGAAGAACATGACTGCTCTCCATTACGTGGCCCAGCATGGCTTCGACAGAGAAGCCCACTTGCTGCTGGAGACAGGGATCAATATAGATGCTGTAAACAATGTAAGTGGGAAAATGACAACGGGCCTCATTCAACAAAATCTTCAGAATTAATATAGGATTTATCTTAAATCGTTCTTAAGAAGACTCTCTGTCAGATTCACCAGCGTGTTCTTAAATGAATGAATTGTTTGCAGCTGTGTTCTTATGTTGAAAGCGTATGCATGTTGTTCTCAATTAGTATAGGTAACCGCCCACTAATGCCCATAAAAGGGAATAAGTGCAGACACACTGAAACACATGCCGGTAGCAGAAGATCAGGTTGTGGAGATGTCTAACGGAGGGATGTAGATGTCTCCTATCAGAGAAAAGACTTTAGCAGGTTAGACGTGGAGGTACTTCTGCAGGAAGTCAGCAGCAAACAAGAGGTTTTATTCAGCAATGTGTGTAATGGTTTCAAAGGAACACAATGAAAGACGCAGATGTAATAAACATAAAGTACATTAAACAAATATGTTCTTAGGAACGATTGGAGAATGAGTCCAAATGAGAGGGTGGATATCAGACTCTTTACTGATTGATTATGGCAGAAGAAAACAAAAGAATACCTCCTCTCATTAAAAAAAAAACAACAACTGTGGCCTGGAATTTGGTTCACTTGTTCATCATATGTTTAAGTCATATGAATACAACACATTTTACAAATGAATTAATTCCTGATTGATTAGCAACAAGAAACGCATTTAGTAGTGAACACATAGAGGGATGTCAGGCAAACCACATATTTAATAAACCCTCTAAAATGTGCATTTTACCAAGCTGACTTGACCTATAGACATGATACAGTATAATAACTTACTTATAATAAAAAGGTTACTTACAGGAACAACTTCAGGAATTATTATTATTTTAATGATAGCTGCAGTTAAAGCACTTTTATGACCTGGAACCTCCAGCAGATTACAGCAGATAACACGATTGGTAACAGCGTCTTCAAATACGTTTACAGAGTTAAGAGGACATCGTTTTGAAAATGTGTAACGTAAGATTTATTCATCGCACGTCCTTCAAAAACTTTGTACATGTGTTTTTTTTCTTATTGTCAGGATCATCCACAAATCATATCAAACTATGTTTATTGTTTCTTTGTGTTTGAAACAGCAACTCAACACAGCGCTGCACCTCGCTGTGCTCGGCAATCACACAGAGGTCGTGCGTCAGCTGATAGAAGCCGACTGTGACCTGGACATCACTGACAGTGTGAGTACAAGCCTCTGCAACTCCACGCACTGTAGTGCAATGACACGCCGATGGCTCTACAGTTATAAAATGACAGTTGAAATGTTAATCCAACACATTCTATCATTTGTGTCACAGAGACAACAGAGCGCTCTGCACATAGCAGCAGAACACGGCTGGCAGGACCTGGCTGAGATGATCCTCATCTCTGGTGTTAACCTCACTCTGACAGACAAGGTGCCACACCGCACACCACTTCTTATTGCACATTTGATTATTACATTATTTATCTATTTTCTCATTCTTTTGGCAAAACGATTAGTTCTATTTTAATTTATTTGACCTTCACTGTGTTTTAATAACTACACATATAAATAGGTTAATTAAAATCAGTGCCACATTGTGAAACTGTTTCTTAAATGGGGTTTTTGACACCATCAAAGCATCACAGCTTTGTGGTCTCAGGTTTCTCACTTTTCTCCCCCCCGCCCTTCGACAGTCTGAGTCACCCGCCAACTGATAGTAAACATTATTTTACACTAATGTTTTATAAGAAGCTGGTAGGAAAGTACATGTTTCAATAGATGTATTAGAAAAAGGGGGTATAGTTTTATACACATCACATAGTTGCAGGGCAGTGTATAAGGGCAGTATTAACCCCTAAAAATCAACCTCATCATGGCTGAAGCACAGTGTCAACAAAACCCTCAAATGTCACTTGAACTTTCTTTAAGAGTGTTTTTTTTACTCAGCATGTTTAATTTTATACTGATATCTAGTAAACGTGATAATAGCCTGACATATTCAGGACAAGGTTCCTGCAGTTTATGTTATGTTTGGAAGATTGGATGCCTGTTTCCTAGTTCTTACTTATATGTTTATTTATCTGATGATGTGGCCGCTGTATTGTGTAGTTGTGTGTCCTGTTTGCTGTGTTATACTGACTGTATGATACACACAGCAGGGGAAAACGTGTCTGGAGGTGGCAGCAAGAGGAAACCACATCATCCTGGTCGACATGATCATCAAAGCTGATCGTTTTTATAAATGGGAGAAGGTGAGTTCACTCACTTTGCACCTGGCTCTGCAGTGACTCTCTGGGAATAACTTTATTAAGTACAGTTTTTAACTAATGCATTAACTCAGTCCCTGAAACTAGGGCCCTGTTGGTCTAAACTCCAGACAAAGAAAACATAATATACAAAATACAAAACATATTAACTTGCAATGAGGAAACAAAATATTTGTACTCTCAATATTGAACTTAATACATCTCTGTGTTCTCTTTCTCCACTTCCTCGTTCTCCTCTTACTCGAACACCTACCCCCCTTTTTAAAAGTTGTCTCATTGTTTTGCACACAGAACAAACCTGACTCCTGTTCGAGCTCTGATTTCTGTGTGATCTGATTGGTTACATATGTTTTCAAATTTGCATTCTCAGTTCAGGTGATTGCTAATCGAGTGTGGTGTTTCAGTGTCAGTGCCACAATTTTGTTTTTGCTGTCATCTGTCCTGCTGCTGGGTTCCTCTGTTACTTCTTTTTTCACTGTTACTCTTATGCTATAAGATTCCTGTTGTGCCAAACACAACATTTATCACTCCAAACATGTCCATCATTTATAGATCTGTTTGTACTCTTTGCATGAAAACAGCTTCTCCTGTCCTCCTCAGGATCAATTGGGCAGTGGGCAGGACTCCTGGGTGGGGAGAAATCTGAGCTTTAAGCAGGACCACCAGCCGGAGACACAGCACATCCGCTCGGTCCTGTGGAGCCTGGCCACCAAGCACCTGTGCCGGGGGGAGTGGAAGATTCTAGCACAACACTGGGAGTTCAGCGATGCTCATATACGAGCTATAGAACAACAATGGACGGGTGAGCTGGACTGATGTTTATTTCAATGATTGATAGTATTGAAAAGTACCTAAGCTATAAAAACAAAACACCGTCAGTTGTTTTTAAACCACAGCATCTGGTCTTAGTTCACACACAGCTCTTGACCTCCTTGGCTCCATGAACTTATTATTTGTGTTCGTTCTCTCATCTGTAAATAAAGTGGAATGTATGCATTCGCTTACGTTTCACTTAAAGGTCACATAATATGCAAAATACACTTCACCATGTTTTTCTAACACGCACATGTTACTCTAGTCCGTCTACAAACCCCCCAGTCATGAGAAAAGTCCATCCTCTCCGTCTATTGCCTGATCCACTTTTCAGAAAATGTGTGCTCAAACAATAGGACATGGAGCGAGAAAGCCAGAGCCTTCCAGAGAGGGGGCGTGGTCAGGCTCAGCTCATTTGCATATTTAAAGCTACAGACACAGAAACAGCCTGTTCTGAGCAGGGCTGAAATAGAGGGGTTTATAGACATGATCAAATACAGGATCAGAGTGGATTTAGAACAAGAAACTTCACACACATGTTTCAGGGAGCTCTGAGACTTATTTAAACTGGTTGAAGACGAGGAGAATATGCCACCTTTAATTTCACTATAGATAGACAACGATGTGTTTTTTAAGTCCTGAGTTGAACCTCCAGGTATGAAAAGCTACAAAGAGCACGGTCACAGGATGCTGTTGATCTGGCTTCATGGAGTCGTGATGGCGGGAAAGAACCCAATCAAAGGCCTCTACGAGGGGCTGGTGGAAATCTCACGGACGGACTTGGCAGGTGAGAACTTCAAACTACACTGTGGGTTTGATATGTTATTGTGCAGCAGAGCTATAAAGAGCTCCTGCAATGTGACGCAGGGAGGAAAGCTTTCACGTTCTCTTTGGATATTTTTTTTTCTTTGCCTAGATTCGGATTATGAATTCCCTCTGATCCATAGAGGAAGACTGGGCTGTATGAAGATACAGTAGTATATTTAGTATGTATTAGAGTGCAGGTTTGTACCGTTACAGCCATTTATCCTCTGATTGGTACAGACTCTAACTGGGATTATGACTAAAGTTATGAAATAATGCAGGTATGTAAGAATGTAGAGGGGGGAAATGTGCCAAATTAACTAAATCTGCAGTTCCTTTATATTTTTTAGAAAAGCCTTGGGCCTGTTGTGATCTTTAAAGAGTTTTAAGTGGACCCCAAAGCAAGACCGGAAGACAGGGTGGTGGGTAAAAGGGGTATTTATTGAAGTGAGGCTGGTGAGGCTTGGATGAGAGTATGTCTTTTGTATGTTTTTTTTTTAAACTTGTTTTTGTATATAAACATATACTGGATTTTTTTGAGCTGTGTGCTTTACAGAACAATCTACAGTTTGAATGCAGACATGTTTTATTTCCATTAAGCAGCCACCTGGTTTGCGTATATTGTATATTCCAATAATACCAGACGATCACTGTCATCTCTTTCTGCAGGCCTGTGAGAAATCATTCCAGTGGAAAAAGTAAAGTTATGATGCAGATATTTATTGAATAAGAAGTTGTGTTGTATGAAGGGTTACATTGAGCATATACAAGATGCTTTATAGATATTATCCATATTTCTATTTATTGTGCACTGCACAAAAGTGCCTGAAGTGATTGCTGTATTATTGAAACACCACGTCAGTGGGCGACAGAGGAATGCATAACTTGATGAAATATCTTATTGCTCTATTTGTTGAACAGTTTCATGTATTTCCTTCATGAATGTGTTTTAAACATTTGATTCAGAGCTACTCCGTCATCATGTGCTCGTCCATTTCCTAAATGATACCGTCTGGTGGTTGTGGTGTTCTACGGTCTGCAGTGTGTGTGATGTCTCTGTGATGTTTTTAATCTTTCAGAGAACATCCGGCAGAAAGCGAATGCAGAGACCAGCTCGACCAAAATGTGCACTGCCATGTGATCATCACACTGTGAGTGACTGTGAAGGCAACACTGTGAGTGACTGTGAAGGCAACACGACAAGTCAAACTTTTTAAATGCAAATTCAGAGCCAATGAAATTCAGTCCATTGCATTAACTGTTTACACATTTACACTTTATTGGATTTATCTCAGGCGTTCTGTAGGGAAAACATTTCTTTAAAAACTGCTGTAGATTTAAATATCTGTATATTATTTAAAAATAAAACATGTGCATCTGAGTGATACCTCAGATTGTCAGCCTGCAGCTGAACAAAGCATTTTTTGGTAGCTGTGATTGCAGTTTGTTACAGAAGCCTTAAGAGGACATGCACCCATACATTTTAATTCTCTCCATTTTCCATAGATCATTTCTGTCGTTTTCTCAAGATCTCGTTATCACGGGAAGACCAGCGTTGTATTCTCAACATACTGACATACAAAAGTCGAGATCTCAAGAACACAACCGCACATTACTTATCACGGGAATACAGAGTTCCAGGCTCATTATCATGAAATATACAGTTGACAGCAAGTTATGTATTCATATTAAGAGACCTCCATGACCATCAAAGTCTAAAAATGAGAGGAGTGCTCTGCTGTCCAAAACAACCGTTAACTTTTCACATGTTTTATTCATTCATACATTTGTCTTGTGGGAAAATGTGTGTAGGGTGCAGAGCGTCGTCATCCTCCACCACTTTGAATGGAAGCTGTTAACGACCGTCTCCGTGAAGGCCTCAATCATCTCCTGCTTTCTGAACACTGGGACACAGTATAAATGTTAAATGTGTTAATCATAAAAATGATCACACTCACTGATGCTGGTGGAACCTGTGAATAAATTTAACATATACACTGAGTGACATGCAGAGAAGGAAATCGATTAAATGAAGCAATAATCTCTTTTTATATATTAGATGTACTTGATGTATATGTACTCTTTTAAAAATGTCTGGTTTCACTTCATAACCAAGTTTTTATCCCACTTGATTCACATTTTTATGATGATTATTATGTCTTTTTAAAATTGATTTAATATGGAACTTTCTACTCTTTTTTTACACTGTTCTCAGTCTGTTTTAGTCATCCAGAGTTGTGGACTTATCCTGATGTTTTCCTGATAGTAGCTTTAAATATGATCCCTCTGTGGGCGGCAGTAGCTCAGTCGGTAGAGGCTTGGGTTGGGAATCGGAGGTTCGCCGGTTTAAGTCCCCGGGCAGACCAAATCTGGAAAATGGTCTGGTAGCTGGAGAGGTTCCAGTTCACTTCCTGAACACTGCTTAGATGCCCTTGAGCCAGGCCATGCACCCCCCCTCCCCCACTAGACCAGTAGCGCAGGCTGTGGACAACCCCCTCACTCGGACATGTCTCCATTAGTGCACGTCCAACAGAGTGTAAAATTGAATTTCCCCTTGCAGGATTAATATATAGGATATCGTCTTCTTCTTACTCTCACTTCTGCTCAGAATGCAGAGGATCACTCAGCTGCAGCTCACACTCTGTAGACAACTCAGACTGAATCATTTCACCACAGAAACGCACACAGAAACTTGCAGGTACACTTACCAGCGTCTTCATTATGCTTCATGATGTCATATGCATTGACGTCAGGGTCTAAACTGTTGTTGACGATGGTATCTTCCCTGTCTTTGAAGGCAGCCGTACTTCGAGCTCTGCACTCTGTCTTTGTGGCCTTAAAGAAATCTGTGTTTTGTTTCCATCACGTCAGATCTTCATTCAGTCTGGCCATCATTGTTTGAATAGAGAGAGCAGTAATATAAGCAGATCGACCTCAGTTGATCTAAAGCTCAAGTGGAAGGAATGAAACATCTCAGTTTCACATTATGGCTCAACGTTAACCTTCTGTCTGTATTACAGTTGTATATGCATCCTATAGACTGAAGATGTGATGCAGTGAGTGACAATAACTAAAATGCACTTTGAGCCTTTTTCAATCAGTTGTTCCATACTTGATACAAGTAACCACTTAAGGATGGAGATGAATTCTTGAAGTCTCAAAATGAGAAACAGAAAAGCACAAAACCTTCTGCCACAGGATGATGTATTTTTTTTTTTTTTTATCAGATGTGCCTCTCTACTTGCTTTTTCTTCTTGAGTAGTTTACGGGATTATTTCACAGATTTTTGTGTTCTTGTTTTATGTTTTATGTTTTATGTTTTCACATTTCTAATTAAAGGTCTTTATTTTGGGATACTCCTTCTGTTGCCTGGTGTAAAAAATGTTAATGGTGTAAAATATAACAGCTATTTTTGCATGAAGTAAAACAACTATATACATTCTGTCATGGATAGAATCCCAAGGAAACTAGGTCACAGGTTTCCTGACCTGACGGCTGATGGCGATCAGCTCGGCTGGGAGGATGGAGAGAGGGGTTGCAATGCGTCTTTGCTCAGTTGGTTGTGTGAATCCAGAGAGTCAACACCATCAGTCGGCTTTCTGTGTTTTTATTGTTGAATGAAGATCTCAGTTATGGGTGTGTGTTGAAAATATATTTTTTATTTCGGCCAGTGACTCCTCCCATTACCCCTCTGTTCTCTGACTCCGGCTTGTTTTGGACTCCAATTTATGTTAGTCTATTATTTTGATGAAATTAGTGGGTGGTTTGAAGGACTATGCTCTTCTTCCAATTTAATGAAACCCAAGGCACACTAAAGCCCTGTTTCCACCAAGTGGTCCGGTTCGGTTTGGTACCCATTTATTGGCGTTTCCACCGTCGAAAAATTGGGAATGGTACCAAAATAAGGGATCTGTACCGTCTTACTTTTTTGGTACCCTTCTGTTGGGGTGCCAAGGGTACCGATCCGACCCCTAAAGGTCATTTTGTTTACTGTGTCCCGTTCTTCTTCTTGAACATTTAACTTAATGAATAGCGGGCTACAACGTGTTGAGCTGCTATGATGTCACACTATTTCGTAGCTGACGCGGCTATCTCCATCTGGCTTACACTCTGCTTGCCAAATAAGGGTACGGTTGGCTGTGGAAACGCAAGATCAGGGTTTACTGTACAAAACTGAACCAAACTGTACTGAACCAAACCGGACCGCTTGGTGGAAACGGGGCTGTGGTACCTTTTTGTAAAAGGTGCAGTGTTCTGTCAGTTCCTCAACCTGCGATCTCTTTCGTTCAGATTTTGTTTACTGGGGGGAACGTAACAATTCACAAAAAATGTCATTTTTTAAAATATGTTTGTCAAATGTAATGATCTTCTAGTACTGTACTGTGATGTAGTATTACTGCTGGTCGTGAACACGTTTGATGATCGTTACAGGCCTACAAAAACGAATGATTAAGAGCTGGTTTGGGCATGTTTAGTGTTTTGTTGTCATACAGCCAATAAAGATCGATGAGTTGGGTGTAAATAAAAACTATGTTTGCATGAAAAAAAATCATGTGCAGAAATTTGCATTTTAAGGAACTTTATGAATTACATTTTTTTTTTAAGATCAATTTAAAAAATCAATGCTTCAATCAAAATTGTTCTTCATCAAACTTTTATGCAGCTCATGTTTAAAAGATCAATAAAAACTCCACTTTGGCTACAAGGTTCTCAACTTGATTTTTTTTCCCTCTGCACTTCTGGACCATGGATCATATTTACAGGACTGTGAACATGTGGAGTGTTGATATCATCTTCAACAAACAGAAATTCAACAGTTACTCGTCACTTCCCACCCTCTCTTTATTTGGCTGTGTACCTGGTTACTCTCACATTTACATCCCTTGTACACATGGCAGACTATTTGCTGAGAGGTCACCCAGTATTGTGTTCCAAAAACAATAATAAAGGTTTGCATTATATAAGCACTAAAGCACCATGTTATTACAAAAACAAGGTCTTTAAAAAAAAAAGTGCTCCTTGACATGGCTTCTTACAAGCTGGACATTTTAAAGTTGATATTCAACTCAAGCTGGGGAAATTATGAAACTGAAAAAGGGAAAACAAAAAGTTGGACCCTCCTTTGTACATCCTTGGGTCTCTTTTAGTTACCAGTGTACCACTCTGATTTGCTAGTCAGTGCATAAGGAGGACACAAGAAAATGATCTTATTGGAACAGGTTGTTATATTGTTCACATGAGGAATCTGCAGCCGTCTCTCTTGCATTGTGTAACAATAGCTTTTGGCTCTAAGAGGCGTTTTTCTGCAAACAGAAGGATGTTACACCACTGCCGCCTTTGTATGTGTAAGAAATCGCTGAAACCCAAAAATAAATACCTGTAATTAAGTTGTGGATTCAAGAGAGATTAAGGAAGGAGATATGATTTATCTATGAAGCAAAATGTAGTGAGCCAAAAAATACTATGAAATTAATACCATTAAAGAAGTTTTTGACATTAAATTTGGTGGTTTTCTTAAACATACTTCATGGATAAACAGCACTTTTACCAAGAGAAGAAAACACATTTGATCATGTCAGGTCTGCAGGGGCTCCAGCAGAGGGCTATAAAATAAATACTAGCCTCAGTGTAAAGCTAGTAAGATTATTTTAAAAAAATACACAATTAAAATAACACATTACGGGCATATAGTGTGAAATTATGACTAATTATGGCAATTGGTGGTAAAGGGAATCACAATCACTGTTACATTCATAAAGCTTTTTTGACCTCAAGGATCAGGGCTGTAGGCTACAGGAAGTAATAGATAATAATAATAATGATAATAATAATAATAATAATAATAATAATAATATAATAATGATAATTATTATATTATTATTATTATAATAATGTAATAATAATAATAATAATAATAATAATGTAATAATAATAATAATAATAATAATAATAATAATAATGATAACAATAATAATAATAATAATAATAATAATAATAATAATAATAATGATAACAATAATAATAATAATAATAATAATAATAGATAGATAGACCGGAAGGTCAATGTAACCTTAATGCTCTATGTACGTAGGAGTAGCCTAATTGACTAATCTCAATTTCAATTTAATAAACATCTTGAAAAAAATAGAAAGTGTCTTTGTCGGAAGTAAATTATGCTCTTGTTCATTGTTTTTCTCGCGTTGCATTCTGGTCCTTGCAGTCCATTATTTTTTTGCTCTACTTATTGTGGTTGTCAGTGCAGACTGCTCCGACACGATGATGTCTCTGGGCAACACATTGTTCGGGGAAGCTGAAAATGGAAACGGGGGTTTGTAATATTTCTTGCACATCACAAATAAATGAAAGTTAAATTAATTTCTAACAAATGTTTCCTTACAGCGCTGAGTGCAAGCCTGAACTGCAGCAGCTAGCTTAGCATGCTAACCAGCTTTCTGTCACTAGTTGCAATATATTCAGGACGTTTTAAAAAGTCAGAGTTTCTGTCTTCCAGGGAAACAGAGGACACTGTGTCCGTTTCACGGCTGTAAGCGGGTCTACACCGACACAAGCTCCTGGAGACTCACATCAAGGACCATGAGATCCCGGCGGAGTCTCTTCCTGGTGAGCATGTGTTGATTTAATACATCTGTACAACCCTGATGTCCAAAGCATGACAGGTGTGTATTGTAATTAAAGATAAGCTCCATTGTGCCATGATGGAGATACAGTTTCTTAATGAATAGAATAAAATTACTTTATTGATCCTAAACTGGGAAATTGTGGTGTTACAGCAGCAGGTTGTCCAAACACACAATATGAGCAAAAAACACAATGTTAGCAAATTTAAACACAATATAATATTAAATACAAAGTAAATAAACACTGAAAATATCAAAACTAAGAATGAGAATATATACAACCAGGATTTAACTTAGCATTACTGTTTGTCCAGTGGAGAGGCTTTGACTTCAGTCTTTTTTCTGATGTAGACTGAATGTTAAGAACATTAAGTGTGTTGTGTTAGCGTCATTACCATAATGTTGGGTTCCCCTCCCAAATAAACAAAATAGAAGTCATTACTTCAGAAACACTGAGCCATTTTCTTCTAATTTTACAAGAATAAGCAATCTGCTTTTGTACCAAACAAATACTTATTGGATAAAAAACCATAACAGCCTAAGGACTATACTACAGACCCTGAAGTAGACCTTCAGAAGGTCAACACTTTTTTATTTGTATTTTTTTATATTCAGGTCTTATTACAGATTGTTTTATAGGTTCTTTTTTAAATGTCACATATATTTTTTATCCCTGCACAGGTTATGTACATTTCTTGTATAAGTCTATTTTTAATTGCACAGTTTAAGTTTGATTCATCTAGAGGTGTTCTTTAAATCTTTTTTCAGGTTAATCTATATGTATGACATGACATGTAACAAATGTTTCATGTATGTCTTTGTAACCTGCTACTGGATGCTTTGAATTTCCCTCTGGATCAATAAAGTATCTATCTATCTATCTATCAGTCTATCAGTCTATCAGTCTATCTATCTTTTTATCTATCTATCAGTCTATCTATCTATCTATCAGTCTATCTATCTATCTATCTATCTATCTATCAGTCTATCTATCTATCTATCAGTCTATCTATCTATCAGTCTATCTATCTATCAGTCTATCTATCTATCTATCTATCTATCTATCTATCTTTCTATCTATCTATCTATCTTTCTATCTATCTATCAGTCTATCTATCTATCTATCTTTCTATCTATCTATCAGTCTATCTATCTTTTTATCTATCTATCAGTCTATCTATCTATCTATCAGTCTATCTATCTATCTATCTATCTCTATCTATCTATCTATCTATCTATCTATCTATCTATCAGTCTATCTATCTTTTTATCTATCTATCAGTCTATCTATCTATCTATCAGTCTATCTATCTATCTATCTATCTATCTATCAGTCTATCTATCTATCAGTCTATCTATCTATCAGTCTATCTATCTATCTATCTATCTATCTTTCTATCTATCTATCTATCTTTCTATCTATCTATCAGTCTATCTATCTATCTATCTTCTATCTATCTATCAGTCTATCTATCTATCTATCTATCTATCAGTCTATCTATCTATCAGTCTATCTATCTATCAGTCTATCTATCTATCTATCTTTCTATCTATCTATCAGTCTATCTATCTATCTATCTTTCTATCTATCTATCTATCTCTCTGTAGAGAAACACTCATGTTACAAAGTCAAACTAAAACCTTGCACTCTAAACAAACTGTTGTTTTTACTGGTGAGATTTTCCTCTCTTAAATATTACAGGTGCAGGTGTTTGGCGTTTTGCTACCTTGTATAACCCCACACTGCTGTGTTTTTCTGTTGTTTGATATATCTGTCGGCTAATAAGGACACTCTCTGTCTCTCATAGGAAAGGTTTTCCTTTGCTCCAGCATCGGCTGCGGGGGTTCTTTCCCCAACATGCTGAAGCTGATGGAGCATATGAGGCAACATCACAAACCCAACATATACTTCTTGTGAGTTGTTCCTATTTTTCTTCCTCAGCAGAGTTTCTTTTAATTGTTTTGTACAAATGTTTTAACAAAAGATGTTCATCTCGACTCATTTTTAAAGACAGTTAGTCTTTCAAATGTAGGCTAATGACTAGTCTTAAGAACTCCATTAACGATTGAGCACAATTCATCTCTACAGCTAAACACAGAGCATAGCATCAGCGGGTAAACGTTAGCATTGCTAGAAACCATCAGCCTTGGGGCCTCTGCAGGTAAATGTCCGCATGGCTGTGCTGAAGTGGTCATATTCCAATTTCTCCCAGTCTTCTTGATCAGAATCAAACCACACTCCTACAAGACTCTGTCTGTCCACTGCGCTGGTTTACATCCAGGTAGTGGAGCATGAGGCCCCGTGTCCACTGAGACAGAAAAGCGCTGGCTGTGCGCTGATAAAAGAAGAGCTGCTCGCTAGACAGTCTGTTGACAACGGGCGCTGTATGTCCGACACTGCTCCGTCACTTTGTCCTGCATTTCTTGAGATGATGAGATCGTTTTTTAACCCCAGCAGACTCGGAGTGAGGAGGATGTGGGTACAAGACACAATCCTTGGGTGGCAAAAATACGGGGAATATCGTATATTTTTTAAAGAGCGCTGGTGACGTCAACAGCGCCTTTCTAAAAAGTGGAAAGATTTTTAACTTGAGCGGTCGCACAAAAACGACAAAGCGCTTGTAAAAAAAGACGCTGAGTGCTGCGCTTTTTCTCCAGGCGGTGGCTCTCTGCTGCGAACGCTCTCTGCTCATTGAAAACAATTAAAAATAGTCGATCAGAAAAAAACTCTCTGAGTGAGCGTTTAACTGGCATTGCGGCCCTGAATGAATCAAGACATTAATAATTAGTTTAACTGAGTAGTTATTGTGGTCGTGAATCGTAGTTCAGACTGTTTTCTTTGTCATTTCTGCAGGTGTGAGAACTGTCGCACAAAGTTACGGACCTACAAAGGCCTCCTCACTCACCTGCACACCTGTTCAAAAGTGTCACAGGGCAAAACAAAGCTGCCTGAACCGATGCCCCCCCCTCCAGCTGCTGCTGCTCCAACAGACCCGAGCATGACCCCCACAGCCATGGACCAGGACCCACCGCAGCTGGAGTCTGTGTCCTCATCCCAGCAACTTCAAATCCAAAACACGGACGGTTCCTTACCCGCTGCTGTTCCTCAATCAGAGTCTGCTGCCCCCCCTCATCTTGGTCCCCCATTCTTGCCCAACCCAGACCCCTCCCCTCCCCAGCTTGCAGCCCAGCAGCTCACGGATGCTGCTTTGCTGCCTCAGCTCATAAACGAAGCCTCTGATATGCCTCCGTCTCTAAACCTTGAGGGGACATCAGTGGTTCCTGACGCCCCTGATACCCGGGGTCAAAACCAGGCACCATCAGGATCTCTTGAGCCTACCCAACCTGCTTCAGGATCGTCTCCTCTGTCTCCTCCTCCTTCAGCTGTCTGGAGGAAAAATCAAGGTGAGCCTCTCCTCACAACACAGCTGCACAGGTTTGTTAAAAAATAGAACTCTCTTGTTTTAGTCATTAGTTTGTCTTCTCTCTCATCAGCTCAAACCTCCAGCAGACGAGTCCTTTGGGAGCACACCAGAGGGCGCTACACGTGTTTGCAGTGCGGCCACACGGTAACCAACCGTAAAGACATGAGTCAACACATCAGCGCTCAGCACAGCGGGAACAAACCTGCAGAAGACACGGAGAGCTCTGCAGCCACGTCGTAATGTGGAAGCAGAACGATGCAATGAACTTTTGGAAGCAAATGTTTCTTTTTTGTTTTCCTCAAGAACTCAACTGTAAATGAAAGTTTCTGTCAAACGCTCTGCAACAGGTTTTGTATAAATCCTCTCTCAGTGAAGAGCCGGCAGCTGTGCTTTAAAAGAAACAAAAAAACATTACAAGTGACTTTTGATCAAATATGAGACGGCTGTTTTGCTCTCTGCAACGTGTCCTAAAATTGATGATACTTTCTCTTACCTTGAGATAGTTATTAACTCCATCCACTCTTCTGCTTTTGTTTTAAAGAAACGTTTATCATGTTGTGTTTCTTCACGGTGAATGTCAAACCCTAGGAAGTTGTTGCCGTTAGATGTTTGATCAGCAGACCCGTAAACACAGTTTGTAAATCAAGGTAAGAACAGAATTTGAGATTTAGTATCCAACACTAATAGTACACAGTGCACTTAACTCGACTGGACAGCAGATAATAAACTCTCAGCTGACATCATGGTGCATTTGGATGTTTTTGGGTAAAACTACAGATGGGATAAAACACAGCGTTTGATTTGCTGTGTGTTCTTTTTACACGTGTTGTATTGAATGTTTCCGTGGGAGATTCAGCGTTTCAGAGTTTCAGCCTTTCTACTGCGCCATTAAAAGAGAAACACGAGTTGTGCTTTTTAACATTTTTCCTTTTTATTGCAACAAATTAAATGAAAAGATAAAAAAGTGACCCTTCTTTAGGGGGGGCCCAAGGGATCCTGTTGTGAAAACAGCTCACAGTTTTTAAGTCTCTGAAGAAAAGTCTCTTAACTTGTTCAGCATGTGGACATTATTTTTCTTTAACCAATGTTAATGAAACAGAAGGAAATCCATTAGCTGGGGAATAATCCACGTTTGGAGCTTTTAGAGCAGGACTGAGAAATGAAATGCTTTCTGGCCTTTTTGCCCTTACTGGACAGAAAACACCGGGGCGATAAAGTAGGGGATGACATGCAGCATAGCGCCAAGGTTGGATCTTAACCCAAGGCTGCTGCTGCTGCTGCGGCTATCCTCTGTACATGGGGGGCACGACATAGTCGCCAGGCTATCGGCGCTCCCCCCTCCAGGACAATTTATTTGAAACAATATTAACCCTTTAAACTACAAAAATCAGTTTTAACATCCTTGGAAGTCCCTTTCTATTTTAATTGTACGGTTGGAGAGACAGACAAAGTAAACATCCTGCTGAATTTTCCTTAATGTGATAAACACAACTTTAGTGTCACAAGTTTCAGTCGATTTTGGGCTTGTGAAATATTGGTGCAAAGTTTAATTGTGACTGAGGGGCAAAATCCTTGTTCAGAAGCTGTGCTGATACAAACTTCTGAACCATGTTGGGCTAGTGTGCTAAAGGAGGCTAGACAGTGGCTAAAGTCTCATGATACTAATACAGCACATCCCTCACTGAATCATCTACTTTCTGAAATAGAAGTGCCAGTCCTGTTCTGAACCACATACTGAGTGAGAGCAGCTGAGATACATCAACTTATTTTACTGTAAGCACAGAACCCTCTTTTCTCGTGTTTCTTGCTGCCTGCAGCACTTCCCATTAGGGTTTCACACCAGAATTTGAAACTACAATAGTTACAATATCTTGTAAAATCAAGATATTGATGCCTGTTTCCATAACACAAACATGTAAGATCCAGATTCCCAAAATCATGAAAAGTTTTGTTTTTAAACTCCAGAAATGGCAACTTCTCCCATACAGTTGCTGTTTTTGAAACAGAGATGTGTGCAGTGTCAGCTGTCTGCTCTTTGTCTGTTTGAAAGACACATATGTAGGTTTAGCATCTTCATGAGACGACAGAGACTTCAGAAACATCAGTATCTGCAGATCTGTGAGTTTCAATACACTTCTTGATTTTTCTCCTCAGCTTCAGTTCACAATTATGACTGAAGATCTATTTACTTTTCAAAGCTTTCAAAGATTTCATGCAAACGGTCACTTGATCAATGTTTCATTTTGTATCACTGGGTACATATGTATCAGATTCTTCACCTTTACAAGAAAGACATGGTCCAAAAAGCATGTTTTATTTGGGTCGGTCAGAATGAGTTGATACAAGCACTTGACCGTGCAGACGGTCCAGAGTTTTGGTCAGCTCAGGCTTCGCATTCCTGCCTCTACACCACACATGCTCCAGAAAAACCACCACCGACATCTCCCATCTTTTCCCTCTGTTCATTAACATTACACGCTTGCCAGACAGTGAGCTTCTTAATAATTAACACAAGACAAATACCACATAACAAGAGGTCCCACTCGATCATTTACGTGTATTATTAGACATTACCACATGCAGACTGAGATGCTAGTTCAACAAACAAATCCCATCTCATGGATGAAGGGGAGTCATTGTCAATAGATAATCTGTATTTTAAAAATACGTGGGAAGGGGCCCTTTCACATTTGTTATCATGGTTAGAAGTATTAAGACAGGTTGTTTGACATGAGGGTTTTTTTGGGTTTTTTTTTTACAAAGAAAAATGACATAATGTTGCATCTCATCCTCCTACAACCCTTCACTTTCAATCAGTAAATTTAAGTTAACAAAACCTGCAGGAAGAAATATCAGAAATTAATGTTTTAATTTCACATAATGGCAGGTTAAAAAACAAAATCAGTAAACAAGTGCATACAAAAAAAAGGATTTAGTGCTGACTGTCCAACCCCCCCCCCCCCACCTCGATCAGGCAATGTTGATTTTTTTGGGTTTGTTTTATTATCACAACGTTGTTCAGCTCAGTTCTCTAGAGGCTTTAAAAAAATCTCTTCTGCTCAATCGCGTACATCTTTCCTGCTGGAATCTTGCGGAAAAATAAACTGTTGCCTCTGCTCATGTTGCCCTGCAATGAAGAAAAGGACAGATGTTTAGTAGGCGTAGCGTTAAAAATTCCATTTCACCACAATGAAAATCATTTCATGTAAGCTCTACCCTTCTACCAAGAAGACAAAGTTGGGTTCATCACTTTCATTAGCATTACCCGTCTGTTCTAACTATAACACAATGAAGGACAACATGGTCTGTAATAACACTGGTTTTTGGAATGTGTAAAAAATGTCAAAAGGAACGCCTGACAGTGGATTGGATAGTGTCATGTTCAAACTGTTGATTAAAGGTCACATATTGTGAAATAAACAAGTTACCATGTTTTTCTAACACATGTTTCCCCAGTCCGTCTACAAACCCCCCAATTACGAGAAAAGTCCATCCTCTCCGTCTTTTGCCTCCTTCACTTTTCAGAAAATGTGTGCTCAAACAGGCCGTTTGGAGATTTTCCCTTCATGACATCACAAAGGGCAGTAACCCCTCCCCCAGGTGGGTGACACTCCCACAGCTAGGCGTTTGTTCTGCCCATCTTCAGACGATGTCCAGCAGGGGGTGCATTTAAAAACACATGATAACTTTTTAACTTGTAAGGTCTGAATCTATGATGGCTAAAATACATGCAGCACCATGTTGGTTGAAATGTTTTAATGATAATAAAATAATTCATTAGGGGCCTTCTGTTTGCATCATGGTCGGATCTGATGAGGTTTAACTTCAGACACGTTACATAATGTAAATGTTTGTGAGCAGTAACCGTCAGAATCAGCTGTGATTCTTGTATTAGTGACTGAAATGTTAAACCACATCAGTGTCTGGTGCGTTGTTAGCATGTATCCAGTGTGTGTACTTACCTCTCTGCTTAGATGCCTCCAGCAGTCCACCCAGGTGGGATATACAGATGCATAGGGGGGCAGGCCTCCAGCGAGTCTGTAGGAAACAGTGGAAATGTAAGTCTGCTTGATCCAATTCTTCTGAGCATTTACAACAACTAATAAGCCGACAACTCACCCGCAGTCATTGACAGCCATGAGGTTTGACACCAAGACGAATGGGTACGTGAGCATACTCGCAAAGAACTGAAGGAAAAGAGAAGAAGATCAGGAACATGTTCAAACATCAAGGAAGAGACAGACTGACAAGTGTTCAGCAGATGTTCGACACTCACCCCTGTCACAGCCTGAGAGCAGTTCTTCATTTCTCCTGTGTGACTCATCTGTACACAACAGATTAATAAACAGTGTTAGAATTCATTTCAGAGGATGGGGAGGCAGAGGGGTTAAAAGACAGGTCAGTTACAAGAAGTTATGGTTATGTCAGGGAGTGTGTAAAAGAAGTGGCTCTGGCCTTTTGGTTTAAAAAATAAACACACCCCTAGTTATGCAAGTTTATGCAAAAATCTTAAAATAGATGAGTTGTTAAAAAAAAAAAAAAACCATATATATATATATATATATATACACACACACCGTATTTTCCGCACTATAAGGCGCACTTAAAAGCCTTTAATTTTCTCAAAAAACGACAGTGCGCCTTATAATCCAGAGCGCCTTATATATGGATCAATTGGTTACAATCCATACTAGTTGTACATGGCGCTCAAGGCGCTCTGTCAAAATTCAATTCGGACACTGAAGAAGAAAAATTAGAGGGATTCGTGGACGGGGAATGTGAGCTTTACGTGTTACACGTAACTGAACAATGTTGAGTTATGCACTAACGTTTGAATTAGCGGTATCAGACTGTGTTTCTTTTACATGTTTACAACTGAACAAGGCTGGGAGATATTGTGAATATGCATATTAACATTTGAACAGCGTTGAGTTATTGTGAATGCACTACGTATAAAACGTAGTATATAGTATGTACCATTTAACAAGTGATGAGTGCAGGTATACATCATACAGCGATCTCTTTCGAGGCTCAGTAGGGGCCATACGTAGTTTTATACGTAAATTGAACAATTTCGAGAGTTCCTATATTGTGAATGCACTAACGTTTGATTTAGTGGTATCAGACTGTTTCTTTTACTACGTGTTTACTGAATCAGGGAAAAGTTCCCCTCCACGTTTGGGAGAAGAGTGAACAAGGCTGGGAGATATTGTTAATATGCACATTAACGTTTGAACATCGTTACCATGGGAGTGAACGGAGTTGTCAGAACGCTTAATTAAGTTTGACTTTATCTGACTGTTTTGTTGACATTCCCTTTAGCACAGCTCCATCTAGTGGATGCATAATGCAACCCCAGTCAAACGTTTGACTGCAGTATCTTCTATTCTATGCGCCTTATAATCCGGTGCGCCCTATATATGAAAACAGTTCTAAAATAGGCCATTCATTGAAGGTGCTCCTTATAATCCGGTGCGCCTTATAGTGCGGAAAATACGGTATATGTATGTATATTTTTAGCGGGGGGGGGGGATTCCTCGGCTCTTATATGGTAATTTTTTGGCTACGATAAATCAAGATGACAAATTTAAGGCTTCAAAGTGTATACACAAACCAAGGGGTGAAGTCATGTTAACTATGTCCATGTCTTATATACAACCTATTGTCTACCTGGTTTTGGAAGATACAGGGAGGTCTTCAGCTGGTGTATAAAGCCCCACATACCTCAGCTACTTTTAAAAACACAGAGAGGTATATAATTTGATTTAGATTCAAACTAAATAAACATGAATAATCTGAGTCGACCGTAGTAACATTTGACTCAAATGATTAATTTCTATAATTCACATGCACTGGTGAAGAATTCAACTTGGTCAGTTCTGTCTTCTACTTTTACTTCTGTTTATTTATTGCTGACATATCTTGATTACTTTGAGTTTGCTGCATTGATATCATTACGTTTCCTTTAGTAAGATACCTTTTTAATAACTTTCATCAGCACATCCAACAACTGATTGAGGAAATGCATTGATATTTGTATTCCTCCTCTAGTGTGTGAATTTTTCTTGAAGTTTGACGTCAGTAAAGATTATTTTGTTCTTCTCTTGAAATTCATGAGTGGGTTGTGGGTAGGTTGATTGTTTTAAGAACCCTAGTCTGAGTGCATAATCACATTTAAAGTATGCATGTCATGTTTGCCATGTTCTAAGCCCTGAGCTGGTAAATGTGTCTTTAAGGCAATTTTCATTCCACTAACCAAACTCATGGACACGACATAGAACAAGTGTATGGACTAAAAGAAAACAACAACAATATACCGAGTCATCGATGGCGTATGTATTGATGAGATGAGCCAGGAGGTTACAAATCCACAGAGACAAGACGTCACCGAGCAGGCGAGGAATCAACCCACTGAAAACAAACACGAAAAGACAGTTAAATTACAGATTAATTTTAAGTGAGCAAATATAATCCACAGAGAAAATAACACATCTTTAGACAGATTATTTCGAGGAATTAAATTAGTTAACCACTGATCCACTCCATATTTCTCAAAGAGATCCTGCCAGTCATCTCCCTCTACTTTCTCTCTATTATTAATCATTCTCTCTTTTCTGGTTGCATTCCTGACTATTTCAAGACAGCTGCTTTTTCCCTCTCTGCAAAAAAAAAACATTGCTTGACACCACCGAATTAGCCCACTACAGATCAATCGCCAAACTTCCTTTCAATTCAGAAATTCTGGGGAAAGTAGTTACTCTCTAGCTTCTTAAACTGGTTGAGAAAAACATCATCCCTAAATCCAGCTTCCTCAAAAACACATCGTAAAGAAATGGCACTGCTTAGAGTTTCTATAGACATCTTAATGCGTGCAGATAAAGGTAACTATCCCATTTTAGTTTTACTTGACCTAACCACAGCATTAGATACTACTGACCAAACCATTTTAGTTGATAGACTATTGAACTTGGAGGTTATCTTGAGAACAGCTCTAAAATAGTTTTCTGTTCACCGATCTGACTTGGTTCAAACGAACAACTATGTATCTTCTTATGCTCCCCTCTTGTGTTGGGGTCCCTCAGGGCATAATCCTTGGACCAGTTCTGGTTTCATAGTATATGTTAGCACTGGGGAATCTACTAAACTCCTGTTAAGGTATCCTTTATCATTGTTATGCCGACGATACACAGCTCTACTTCTCCTTCAAGCCTAATAATCTCAATAACCTTACAATCGTTCACAAGTATCTATTGGCTGTTACAAATTGGATGTCTGTAAATTTCCTACACTTAAATTCTGACAAGACTAAGGTCCTGGTGATCGGCCCAGAGTGCTTTACAAAAGAGGTCAGGCAGCATATTCAGGTAGAACACTTGTGTTAAAAAATAAAGATTCAAATAAGTGGCAGCAGCTCATACCAGGACTTAACCGTACAGTGCCATCTTGGATATTTGAGTGTTGCTTTGATCAGGTAAAGAAAAAAAGAAAGACAAGTACAGTCTAACTCACGCAAAGAAGCCCAGAATGCCTTCTTCTCTGTAGACTGTGACGATGGAGTCAACACTCCACTAAGGACAAAGAGAGAGACAGAGAATGTTTTGTAATGTTTCATAATTGTCATGTCGATTATCGTTGAAATTGGTATCATAACTTTACCTGTATTTTGATTCTCTTCCAATAAATTGGACCATACATCGCAAAGTAATCACTGAAAAACAAACAGAGGGGAAAACATTTGACATTCAGAAAAATATAAAAAAAAACAGGTAATATAAAAGCAATCCAATGTATCACAATGGGAACAACTTGTGTGCCTTTATACAACCACTGATGAGTCTCAAGGATAATGTTGTAGTGAGTGAGTAAAAGCTGTGTCAGATCTTTATGCAGCTGCAGACAGTCATGACGCACCATGAAAAGGATGTGTGACGATGGTGGCGCAGGACCGAGCGATCATCTCTTTGGTTGTCTGTGGAAAAGATAAAATCAATCAGAAGATGTGCAGACGACCCAAAGACAGAAAGTTTGAATGATAATGATGTTGCTCTGTAACTGCTGTAACAGTTTGCTATCAAGTTCACCATATGCACTAAATGTTAGTGATAAGACAATGTTTGAACTTGTTTCCATTGCCCCAAGCAGACAAAAAAAAAACAGTTATTGGCAAATTATGGACAACTTGTTGTGCATTATGGCTTACTTAAGCCTGACACAGAGTGTGGATTTGATCCTTCATCACTTACAATGGCTATGTGAATTATCAAGAGCCTCAAATGACCAGTTTCAACCGGAGGAAGGAGTAAAAGAAACAAATCTGTGACTATGTTATGCGTCATGACTTCATGTTTTTTTTTATTTTAATCTAAAAACATCACTGACTTCTATTAGGTTTATTTTCTAAGTTGAGGCTGTCTTTTTGTTTTTGGAAAACTAGTCGGTAGTACAAAAGGTACTCTTTTATGTGTCGTGAAGAACTGAAGTGATCTTTCACAGCCAATTTCCACCTAGTCTGCTATTCTGTCAGAGACACGTTTGTGCTCTGCCAGACGACGTGCGCCCTCCTCACTGGGTCTGTAAATTGTGTTTTATTTTGAAATTGACCAGACGCTCTGTGCATACTCTTGTCTGACTTCCTTTCCGGCTCGATCTTTTCTGTCCAGCTTGAAGTGTGCTTGCAGCGAGCTTTGTTGAAAACAGACTCACAGCTTATTTTAAACGGAGCAGAGCGTAATGCCGCTGCGCCAGTGAACGCAGCTGTGGTGCCCGGCGCTGACGGACCATGGTGCGCACACAGAATGAGTAAAATGGCAGTTAGAGACAAAACATGATCTAGACCCCAACCACAGACGTGAGAGAGCTGCTGGACTTTAAGTCCTTATTTGTTTTCTAAGTCGAGGCCTTCCCAACAGCCCGCAGATCGTCGAGGTTGTCTCGTTCATTGAGAGATAAAAATGTCATTATTGATTATATATTAATTTGCTCTTGTTTGGTGCATGTTGGTAGTATCTTACTGAAACTGTAAACATGTCTCACCTCGTTGACAACGTACTGTAAGGAGCCGTCCGCAGCCTTCTGCTGACCGCCCAGAACAAGAAAAGAGACAGACATTAGTATCATCTTTGAAGACTTTTTAAAAACATCCCAAAGAAGAGAGACAGGAACTGCTGGGAGGAGAGAGAGGGATATAACATCCAACAACGAGCCGAGGATGGACTTGAACCCACTGCTGCTGCAGTAAGGGCTACTGCCTCTGTACATGGGGCAAGTGACATAACCACCAGGTGCCCCAATGATGATTTGTTGAATAATTGCTGTTTAATTAGTACTAAAATCATTGTAACTTTTGGAGCAAATTTGCATAAAACATTTTGTTTCCCCGATTCTTAAACTCAATTATAATTCAAGTCTGACTTCAGTGGAGAACAATGCAGCCTTAGAATTGTTTGCGTTCATAAACAGACTATAAAAAGCAATTCTGGCAACCCAAAGCATTTATGAAACATATAAAACGGCAGTTGTTACAGAAATTAATAAACTATGAAGGACGGACAACTATCAACACCTTCTGACAAAATGGTTTAACAGCTATTAATACAAACCACCCAGTGAATAAACCCTGTAAGATAAAGGCGTCGTACTATCTTTACTGTTTTTATGGTCGCTGCTGTTATCTAGTGTTCAAAGTGTAATCAGTGTCAGAAAGTCTTACCTGAGGAGCCCCTTGTTCCTGACATTTCTGTAAGAGAGTGAAATGTCACATTTTAAATCTGGACATGAAGACTCGGTGTGTTACCATTAAACCATGACGGGCTAAAAAAGGACATTATCCTACTTTAAAAACATTAATGTCATCAATGCATGCAGAACCCATTTAAATCAGATATTTATTTACATCCTTCATGATCAAACATCTCACTGGGCTTCAGAAAATTACCTCTGATGTAAACTAACAAGGCTCGTCAAGATACTACAATTTTAACCTTCCATATGATACAAGCTCAAATCAAACAGCTCGGAAACCTTTTTTCATACCACGGTAAAAAAACATTTAAGTCCCAGGCAGCCAATATTGGCCATTTCTTATTTACAACCACATAAAATTGCACGTTGGCTACTGTGGTATTGAAATGTTGCCAACATATTTGTGCAATGAAGACTTATGGTCCTTTCAGAAAAGTCACAGTTCAGTATGGAGCGCAGACTTTTCAGTAGGTGGTTCTCAGTATACTGAAATTTCAGCATGGATACTAACTTCCGGGTTTTGTGCAGTATGGTTTGGATGCATCGTTTCAGGAAATGAGTTGTATTTTATCACCCACAATGCCGTGCGAAATGAAATGTAAAACGTCACTTCACCTGCGCCTCCGAATCAAAACAAACGAGGAGGGATGCGGGTAACTTTTAAATGTCATATTGTGTCTGGCCTACCTGCACAACTTTGCTGTGCACCACTGTGCCAATGGTGCCGGCGCAGAGCCTCGGACCGAGCCCTTTGAAGAGACCCACTTTGCCATCAATCTTGATGATGTGTTTTGCTGATATGGACAGAAAATAAAGAACAGGACAGTTTGTAAACATGGAGCTCAGCAGTCAGATCAGATCCAGCTGAAGGAGAGACACCTGTCCTGTTAAAGAAAACCATGGCTGTGTGTTCTGCAGGATACCAGACGAGCTTTATCCACACACACACAAAAATACAAATCACACATTAAGTAAATGCAAACTCCCCAAAAGTCAAAATGGTGTTTCTCTACTTTGTGACTGACATTTATTATGAGTGGTTTAATAAAAAAGGACAATTAAGAGTTTCAAAATCTGTTTTCCTTCATTCAGTTAAAAATTGTCAGATCAAAACTCAGAGCCTACAGAATGTTTTTAATGACTTTAACTTCAGGGACGGCTGTGGTTCAGTTGGTAGAGACGGTTGGGGGTTCGATCCCCAGCTCCTGCAGCCACATGTCCAATTGAGCCAGACACTTAACCCTGAGATGCTCCCGCTGCTTCGGTGTGACATTCGGTGTAAAAGTGCTTTGAGTAGTCAGAAGACTAGAAAAGGACGATAGAAGCTTTAAGTCCAGTTTGTTTTTGACAGACATGAACGATACGCCAGCACATTGGTGGCAGGTTGATTTTCCACGAGCAGCATGTTAACATACAAAGCAATGCATCAGCAAAAGACAAGAAAAAGGTCAATTCCTTACAAGTAAAGTTTTATAAAAAGGTCTCTGTACTGATGTTTTAGGAGCAGAAAAACACACTAAACAGGTTTGTTCAACATCGTGAACACAAACAAATGCATTTTGGTGACAAACACTGAATGTAAACAAAACTTAAGTTTGCTCAAAGGAATCGTCCACAGGGCACATTAAGGGGGGGGGGGGCAAGACACTTCCCTGTCTATTACAGTACATACACAAATATTTTATTGGTCTATTTTTAGGAGCAAAATGTGCCCACGCATACAAAAAAAAATTGCAGTTGTGTTAACACAACATCAGCGATTGTAGTCACAGCTTTGAAAATACCGACCCACATCTTACAGCCCCTCTGTTCTGAATAGAGCGGCGTGCTGCTGTGGATCCATCTGATTCAAACGGCTACATCAATAAATATCAGACTAACTTCTATTATCGTTGATTATACTTGTTGATGTGAATATTAAGCTGTGGTTAACACTCTTCCCCATTCTTCCTCATTTTATTATCGTTATTGTTCTGTTCAGGTGGAAGAACTCGGGTTGTAACCTGCAACATCACAGTCCAGAGAGCATCTCCACCCACAAGGCCCGCTACACCACAACAGCTTTTTCCCTGCTGCTGTGAGACTTGTAGCACAGGACAGTAAGATGGAAGGAAGTACCTCACCCACACCTCACAGACTAAATGGACAGCTGACCACCTCACAGTGCAATACAAGTGTGACATATTAACCTTAAAAACAAAAAACAGTGCAATTATTTTCATTTCATTTCGTTCCCCTTTGTTATTTTTTTGTATTATATATGTGCTTTAATACAGTGTATAACTTCTGTACAGTTTATTTTAAATCACTTAGCTGTTACAACAACTTGTTTATTTTTTTGTACTTTTCTACTCTTTTTTTCTTACAATGCTATTCTATCTTATATAGAATTTTAACTTTTTTGTAGAAGCTGACTCAGGGAGAAACGCACAAGAATTCCAATGTACCTGTACTGACCTGTACCTGTGCAAATGGCAATAAACATCTATTCTATTCTATTCTGTTATAGTTAGCAGTGTTAATATTAGACTGATGAGTTGTTTATCATACTTATCGTTTTGGAATTATTATTGACATTGTCGCCATAAATCTGTAACAATCACTGATGTCGTTGCTCTGTATGTTTGTCTCTATCTGCGTCTCCACTGTTACGTTGATAGATGTTGCCAAGTGATTTACTCGTGGTGAATTAATGTTGGTTCTTTGTCAACAATATAAATGGACTTGAGCTTCTACCGCGCTTTTCTCGTCTTTCTGCTCAAAGCGCTTTTTTGACGTCACACGTCCCACCTGCACATTCACACCCTGACGGTAGAAGCTGCTGTGTAGTGAGACCATCACAAGTAACTCATCTCATTCATACGCCACCGACGAAGCAGCGGGAGCAGTTCTGGGTTTCCCCGAGGACACATCGGACGTGTTTCTGCAGGTTGCTGGGGATCGAACCCTCGACCTTCCAGCTGAGAGACGACGACTCTACCAACTGAGCCACAAACAAAAGGGAACAGTCTGCTCTTTTTGTAAAGCGTCTGTGAGATTTGTTATCAGTAAACTGACTGAAGTGAAGACGTGTCTCGTTATTATTATTTTTACAGTTCTGAATAAATGTCCCAGACACTTTCAGTACGAGCCAAAGTAATGATCAACCTTTAGGAGAAATCCTTCCTGCATATTATCCCATATACTCTTTTGTAAAGCGTCTGGAGATAAAACTTGTTATGAACTGACGCTATACAAATAATGATTGATTGATTGATTACAGCATTTCCATTTCTACCAGCGTTAGAAACAAAGTTGCCACTTTAAAGAACAAAAAGCGAGACCAGCAAAGGTTATGAAGACACGCGCCTGTCTGCCCTCTGATCAGTACTGTTATAAATATTACATATTTATCGTCTGTGATGGACTCACCATAAGCAAACAGTCCGGGAAGCTGGTACACTTGTCTGCCAAACAGGTTCCTGCCCAGGCTTGGAGGGAGCGGTTCATGTCCTACCTAACCACCCACACACACACACACACACACACACACACACACACACACACACACAATAATAAAAAAGCTGAAGTGATTCTCTTTGTGCACTCTCAGACTTCCTGCTTTCTGTTTCTATCTGACGCCTAAAGTCAACTTGTTGTTGCCAGTTTTGGCTCAAAGCTTTCCTCGGGTTTATTCAGCCTTCACATAAGAGAAGGGAACTCATCCTGGCTTTAAAACAAGTTTGAGGACGCAGGCTAAATGATTAACATTGACTTTAGCTGGTTAGCAACCTGCTGCTAGTGTTAGCTTTAGTGGGCCAAAGGGCAGCAGTATGTTAATGACCAGGGTCCATGGATACTGTGCTCGACCTTTCAGCTGCTTTAAAACAAAGCCCCTGTTTGTGTTCATCTACCAGTGATGGGTGATAAATAAGTGTGTCACTTCAGGAAATGGTTGTGAAATGCAAAAAAGGGTCGCAGGGGGAATTACACAGGAGGCAGCAGAAAACAGCTGATCGGCTCACTGGTGTGTTTCTGCTGCAAAGTTGTGCACCTAGAAAGTACAATTTACGTCTTTTGAAGGCAGTCTCCTGACAGTTCAGTGTGTGGGTGCAGAATGCATTCATAAAACTGTCAAAGTGACATTGCATATCAATGCAGGGTGGACTGTAATTCGGTTATCAGACGTCGCTTCCGCCCACTACAGAGTGTTTTACACACAGAAGGTCACAGGGACAACAGACGGCTCCATAATGAAGCTCTTATTCTGATCGCTGCACCTGTTTCTGTGAGGTTTCAATTAAAGCCGAATTAAAGAGTACATGACCAGGAATCACAGCAGACTTAGTGTCAACCCTTACACCAGCCGTCCATTCACTGAGAAGCAACACAACAATACACTGCGATATTTCCAATGAGGTTTGACAGCTGCCTCTTCAGGTGACCACCGAGCTGAGTGTTTCACAAAGGAGGCAGCTCCGGGACCTGGCACGTCTTCGCATCGTTTGCATAAACACCTGGCCTCTTACCTGGATCAGGACTTTTATGTACATCAGAGGGTGGGAGAGGACGGTGAGCCCTGATCCCAGCAATACTTGGCCACACGTGTCCGCCATTTTTGGAGAGCCAGGGGAGACAGGAAGCTGTTTTTTTTTTTTTTTCCTCGTCTTACGTCAGAACAGCCGAAAGCGCCCATCCGTAATCATGTTATAAAGGTACCGCCATCTAGTGGTTATAGACGGTACAGACACTCTGCTTGACAAGACAGCACAATATTATGAATAGAAAGTCGCATAAAAATAGAAATAAAAAGGTAGAATAAAACAAGTAATGCTTGACTGAGATTTAAGATTGTAGTTAAAACGAAGCATTTTTGTTTTCATTTATTTATTCATCCCCCCCCCCCATACATATATATTAACCCGAAAAAAAGATTTAAAGAATACCCCTAGATCAGGGATGGGCAACTTTGGTCACAGCAAGGGCCACAATCATTTAATTCTGACTGCCAGAAGGCCAAATTGTAGAATACAAAAACGATTCCAATCAATTATGTCTCAAATTTAACTCAACATATACCAGTGATCAAATATTATTATGGACATATTTCTGGTTTTCATGATTTCATGGCAGATTTCATCATGTTTTCTTCATGTTTCCAATTAATTGATATGTAAAAATTGACCTGAGGGCCACGTTGAGGGTTGATAGGGGCCGCATATGGCCCCCGGGCCACCAGTTGCCCACTCCTGCCCTAGATGAATCAAAATTAAACTGTGCAATTAAAAATAGACATAACCTGTGCAGGGATAAAAATATTTGTGAAATTTAAACAAGAACCTTTAAACAGTTGAGGAAAAAAATCTGTAATTAGACCTGAATATAAAAATAAAAATAAAAAGTGTTGACCTTCTGATTTGTGTTGTTTATATATGTAGCAATGTTTAAAAAAGCAGATAGTGCAAAATTATCAAAAAACAGACATTAAATAACAGGCAGTGCAAACATTAAATTAAAGGTGCGATTTAAATAATTGAGGTAATCTTGAACATCAAATGTAAATAAAGAAGATTATAGCCATAGGCTAATTTCCATCTGTAGTCCCTTGGCAGGTTGGTGATAAACAGGTAAACAAAGTTACATAAAACCACAATGACAAGCAAAACCAATACAACAAGTAATGACCAAACAAATCATATAATTCTATCCAAAAGTTGGACAAATTTGAAGGAATTAATGACCATCATCAAAAGTAACAAAATCTTGGCTGTTTGGTTGTAAGTTTATAGTCTCTGAACATGTTGTTTTTCATAATGACACACAAGTAATACCTAGGCAGCAGCATTGTCTGTATAGGTTAAAGGCGTTGGTTGAAATGTTTCTTTCTTCTCACTTGTTTGGCCTGTTCCTCCAGTTGTAGGTCCCCCCATTGTTGTTGTGGATCACTTGCTTCCATGGACCTGCCTGACTCAAACTAACAACTATTAATATCAGTTTTCCTTTCAATATTGTTTTTATAGCTGTAATGTTAATGTAAGAGTTGTTCGGCTCCAACAGCTTTATTTACCATTATCGGCCCTCAATGAAAAATAAAATAAAAAGACATGCACATCCCCTCAGTGGGTGCTGGATCCAAAAAACACGAGTAGGTAAGGAAAGCAAAACAAGATCTGCACACCGAGGAGTTCCCGATTGAAGGATTTATCAATCGTTTGCCCGAAACGTCACTTAATAAATCCTTCAAACTGGAGCTTCTTGGTGTGCGGATCTTGTTTTGCTTACATTATCAGTCCTCCCCACATTAACCATGTTATAGTTGTTAATGGCCTTGAAATATATTAGACTTGTTGACTTGCTATATTTATTATATCAGTTAATAATCATTACGTTTCTATTCCTGCTAATAAAAGGTTTCTTGTATTGTTCATGTTTTTGCTGCCATTGTAGCCATAAGTCTGTATTATCTGTTGTTGTTTTTACTCTGTTTGTTATTTCTCTGTTTGTCTGTCTCTGTCCATCTCTCTTTGTCTTTCTTTCTCTCCTTCTATCCCATTCTCTGCACACACAGTTGCAGCAGATGACTGTTCAACATGATTTCCGTATGTGGTTTCTGCTGTTATAAGAAGGTTTTCCTTGACACTGTTGCCAAGTGCTTGCTCATGGCAGTTTATGTTGGTTCCCATTCAGTCATTTTACAAAGTTTGTCCTGGATGACTTCATCAAAACTGTCAGCTGATGTTCCTCCTGAGCATACTTATACTACAATTTCATACCTCAGTGACACCGAAGACATTCTCAAGCAGTTAAGTAAAGTGATCATTGGAAGAGAGTGAACCAGAAAACGCACTGCATTGAGATGTGTCCTCACCCTGACTCGTGACCTTTGAGTTCCTGCCAGCTCAACCACTGTGAAAGTGGTGAAACCACTTCTACATTCAACCATCTACATTGGCTGTCGCTCAGTAGGCACTGTGGGTCGTCTCGTCTCTCAAGAGATCACCTGCAACCACATGTCCGATGTGTCCTTAGAGCGAGACACTTAACCTGCTGCTTCCTCAGCGGCGTCTTAATGTGTATGAATGGGATTAGTTAATACTGATTGACACAGCAACCTCTGCCATCAGTGTGTGAATGGGTGTAAATGGGCAGGGGTGACCTGCGGTGTAGAGGAGCTTTGAGTCGTCAGAGAGCAAGCGAAACGCTATACAAGCTCAAGTCAAGTCTATTTATCAGTGTAATTTGGATAGATCAGTGCATTCAGACAACCAAAACAATCTCAGAGTGAAGACGCATAGACTACAACTGCACAGCTGTGTTAGGCATTGATCTCTATGTGTAAGACCAAGGGATGCTTTATGCAAAAGTTAACCTTTGAAACAAACTGTGAATCAGGATGAGCCGGACACAACATGAATGTCTGCTTAATAATTCTTTGTCCTCAAACCATTTACTGTATAAGCAAGTAGTCCTAGGCCTGTTCGGTGTCTCTTGCTGCCATTGAATACACTTTTTTTGTATCAGACTCTGATCATCTCCAGTGGTTTTATTTTTTAGTAAAAGTCTGACTCCATTCATTTTCTTCTGAGATGTCTTCAGCTGCTGGACAACAGACTCTGAATCTACATATTGCCGAAAGTGGAGTCTCTACAGTCTCAAACTGTGCTCTTAATGAAGGAATTACAAGAGGATGCTGGTTATATTCAGGTAAGTTTTAATGAAAGATCATGGACTGATGTGCTGATCAGATCAGTGTCTGTTGTTAAATACTGTAAACATAAGGAGATGATGTTTCCTCTGATCTGAACTGGCTTCTTCTGTAACAAAGAACAACAAAGAGGACATTAGTATGATGTTTAAATTACACCTATATAGGAAGGCAGTGTTAGTGACTATATGATTGAATATTTATCCTAAAGGGCACAGGAAGACACTCACAGCACTTGTAGAGAGTGTTGAGCCTGGCTTTGTCATTGCTGCTCATCTCCTTAGCATTACCAAAGGACACGTTGGGGTTAGGGATGGGGAGCATGGTGGGCTTGTTGTTCTTGGAGAAGGCGTACCTACAACAGGACACAGAGCAGTTAAGACTAAACTAAGGCACATTGTGAACACACACACACACACATACTGTATGTTTGATGAAACACGACGGTGCTGAGGTGAAGCCAGTCTCACTCACTTGTGGTACTGCATGACAGAGTTGTAGTCGTAGCGAGTGCCCTGGTTCAAGGTAGCGATCTTCCTGAAGTTGTGTTGCATACCTGAAAACAACAGAAATAAATGTAATATTTGTTTGGTATGAAGTCACTCTGACGCTGGACAGAAAGGAGTTCAGCTCAGCTGCTTGAGAAAGAGTTCAATAAGCTTCAGAGTGTCAATGTGTCAATTCAGCTTTGTGAATAAAAAACAGCCTCCTTACTAGAATCAACATTCTGCAGCAGGACTTGGATGTGGTTGTCTCTGTCAGAGCGGGTCTGTTCGTGGTTGAATCCCAGAGCGTGGAGCAGCTCATGCTGGACGGTGCCGTGGTAGAGACATCCACTACGGGCCAGAGACACCACCTGCTTTCCACCACGGCGGCCAACGTAGGACCAGCAGCTGAACGGAGACAGAATTAGTTGAAGTACACTGATGTCTGACAGAAGCTTAAAGGAAGAAATTATGCAATTTTTCACACTTAAATGTAGCAGAAGTCAAATATATCCTCTGAAAATAACTCTGTGAGTCATGACTGTCTACAATGAGTGTGACACCCGAGTCCCACTGTCTGTGATGCTTTCAGAGCTTTCCAAGCCATAGCTACACTTTGTTTATATCGCCGGGACGGCCGGCTGACTCCTCCCCTCGTGTATGAAAGTTGTTTAATTGAGGGACTAGAGAAAAGAAGAATAACATACTGTACTCACTGCTTAATTGAAGCGTTTTTCGATCACGATCATTTCGTGTAAATTTACATGCAGTGTGAAGATGCGAGCATAATAAAGATCGCTAGCATTAGCATGCTAACACAACAATGCAGGGCGAGTTGTTTTGGTTTCATGCTGGTGCTCAAGGGCGACATCTGCTGGATCAAAAAGTCGCAAATTCTTCCTTTAAGGAACTCAAACTACTCATTGGTAACTTTCGTCTTTTTTTACCCGTTCTGAGACTCGATTTGCAGCCATTCGCGGTCGTCGCTTCTGCTGGGCCTGAAGCGGATGCAGGAGAAGGAAGAGAAGGACTCCAGTCCACGAGTGATGATGGCCTTTTCACGAGAGGCTGGAGGGTACAAAACACACAACATTAAACTCTTTACACTGTGTTATATATTAACACTCAGCCTTTGAAATGTTTGCCTAGGAGTCTTTAAAACAATGCAAGCAATGCATTCAAACTTTTCCAATCATATGAACCCTTAGCTAACCGTTAGCTTACATCGGATTAGTTACAGATTAGTTAAGGAAAGTGCTTGGAAAATGTTTTAAGTAAAGATCTTGTGGTGAAAAAGAAAAGCTCCTCTCTTCTATGAAGAATATTATGGATTGTCCACTTTTTTAGGTCATTCATGTCACGACTTTAGGGACCAGACTGGTTACATTATTAACAGTTAGTAGTAACTGCACAGCTAATTGTTTGAAAAGTCGCTGCTTCAACAAGCTGCTTTCAAAGT